GCTTTGGAGACCAGGCTGGCCTTGAACTCACAGAGATCTGCCTGCCTCTGCCTCCCGAGTGCTGGGATTAAAGGCGTGCGCCACCACCGCCCGGCTCAGATTGAGTTTTTGTGTGTGTGAAATCACCGAAGGCACCGTTGTTTTCCTTTAGGCTGAGCGTGGCCTTTGTTTGTACGTTTGTCCAGCAGGCCTTCTCCAGCCTCACCACGGTTTCCTGGAGTCAAGGTCCACTTCAGATCACATCAGCCTTCTGTCTGGTTTCTTACAGGCCCTTCCCATCCTCTCTTCACACTAACTACACTGGACTGAGGCGTTTAGGGCGAGCCCAGACCTCTCACTGTCCGTTTCCTATCACTTTTCAACATTCCCTCAGGCATCTCTTGGGAGGCTTCCTGGCCCCCTCATTCCAAAATAGTTCCTCTCAGCCATGTTGTCTTTGTGCTGTTCCTTCTCATCCGTCACAGTGGTCACCCCACCATGGTGCATGCTCTGGTCAGATTCTTCATTGGCTTTGCACCTAAGCATCTGTGTACTGCTGTTGTTAGTAGCTATTTGTCATTACATGTTGTGTAATGAGGTCAGTTTGAGATGCTTCCTAAATGGTTATAAAAATCTCAAATGTACTAAAAATGGAGATTCTTTATTTTGTTTGGAAAGAACGTATATTTTGGTGTTATAAATGTTAAGTATGTTGATGTGATGATTTCCAGTAAGTTTTGGTGGGCTTAATTTGGAAATGACTCATTTCCCAGTTCTGAAAGCTAGAGGAAGGAGACTCAGATTAAAAAAAAAAAACAAAAAAAAACAAAAACAAAAAAAAACACTTACAAGCCAGTTTTTTGTTTTCCAATGTGGATGAGATGAGGAAAAAACTTGTTTTATTTTGTGGGTTACCCCAGACTTTAGAAGGTACATTAAAAAGTTATAGATGGGCTGAGCATGTACAGAGAGCCTTGGGTTCTGTCACTAGTGCAGAAGAAAGAAATGTAAGTCCGGCCATTGTTTTCAGGATTTTTCTGTAGTTAGCTGCAAGTATCAGGCGCTTCATTGTTTGACACAATGTGTAGTTCCTTTATTTAAAGTGAATCCTATGATGGATCAGTTCTTAAAATGTGGTTCAATCTATTATCTATCTGGTAGAGGAGTATCTGTTTATCTATCTATCATCTATCCAGTAGAAGAGTGTCTGTCTGTCTGCCTATTGTCTATCTAGTAGAGGAGTGTCTGTCTATCATCTATCTGTCTGGTAGCAGAGGAGTGTTTGTCATCTATCTATCTGAATCTGGTAGAGGAGTGTCTGTCTATCATCTGTCTGGTAGAGGAGTGTCTGTCTGTCATCTTATCTATCTGGTAGAGGAGTGTCTGTCTGTCTATCATCTGTATGGTAGAGGAGTACCTGTTAGGATATACCCATTGGGGTTTGTAGGAGCCTTGGTTGTAGGAAGCCTGCTTTAGGGTTCTCTGCTGCACAGGGCATGCTCTGTAGCTCGTGCTCATTCTCACATCGCGGCTTCATTTGCTGTGGTTCCTCTTTTATGAAGCCCAGCTTCACCCGCCAAGCGCTCCCATGTGCAGCCAAAGCTGTGGTAGTGAAATGACTGTTTTCCCTGGTCTGCTGTCTAGGTCTGTTGTGGCAACAGTATTTGAAAATGATGGGAGATTTGGAGAAGGGTAGAGTCAAAGAGTTGCCCAATAGATATTTATGTATTTCTTGAGGGATGAATAAAACGTTCACCATGGTTAGGGATTTGTGTGCATAACATATATTGACTGATGGAGCTGACCAGATGCTCCACACCTAGTGCTAGAGCTCACATGGCGATGGAGTTAGCGTTCTTCAGTGACACGGACAAGTAATGATGGCTTAAAAGACTTTGAACCAGAAGACCAAAACTCAAGTTTGGAACTTGCTGCGATTATAGCGGGATGGCATGCTTGTGAACAGTGTGTGTGGTGTTTCTGAAAAAGAGACTGACTTGGCAGCAGAGCTGCAGGAACCTTGGCAGATGGCTGTGCGTTCTGAACCTCTAAGTGAGCTTCGGTACGACCGGAGGCTTGCACTCCACTGCAGCACTTGGGATGTCACAGGTGGAAACAGCTGGAGTCCCTCCAGCTGTGATAGACTAATCTAATGCAGGAAGAAAGACATTCAAGTTTTCACATCATGTCACTGCAGCCTGACCAATTGCGGGACAGTTTAAAGTTAGACGTTTCATTTATTCGATTGCAAAACATAGGTATATGGACATTTACTTTGACTTTTAAGAACTTATAAAAAATAGAACAAACTGAATCCTCTAATCATTTTGTCATTAAAGATGTCTAGTTTAGCTTTATAGTGTGCCAGGAAAAAAAAAAAACAACTATATCTAGTAATTAGAAGTGAGAGAGCATTCAGATACTAAATTAACTTTATGGTCACAGATGAATGTAATGCTGACTATGATTAAGCATATTTATTCTTTGCTTTCATAGTTCCAACTTGGAACTTAAAACACTATGTGCACAGCTAGAAAGTATTTTGTTTATTATGTACACTTCTGTATTTCTGTCTGTAGGATGTGTATTGCTGATTCAATGACCACTGACTGAAAATATTACAAAAAAATGGTTTATCCCAAAGTATACAGACTTATTTTTTTACCATTATTTTATAGATAATAGAGTTTATCAACTTGTTAGAAGATGTTAGAAGTAATCTCAAAACGATTAAAAATATACAGGAAAATGTAGTGTGTGTGCAGATTATATGTACATGTGATGCTGTTTTATGTAAGGGACGAGAGCATATCTGGGTTTTGGCATTCTTAGAGTTGTGGCACCAATGCTGCGAGGTGTCAGTGAACAGCTGTATGTGAGAATGGCAGAATTTGTCCAGATGTTTTCTAAAGCAGGAGTAAGGGAATAGCGTTTTATAGAAGCCATTTTTAGCACATTTGAAATGTCCATTCTGTGGAAATCTTCACCTCTGGTAATCACAGCGCATTTCAAAATGACTGGGTTGTCACTCAGCCCTTCCTTAGCTGTATATTCCTAAATTCACTTAGGTGTGGGTGTGAGAAGCCCCTACCATCCACTCACCCATCCATCCTCCATCTGTCCATCCCACGTAAGTCTGAGATATCCTGGAAGAAAATATTTGTTAACAGCCTTGCTAACAAGTAAAGTTATGTTCTCATACTGCTTTTTTTATTTTATGTGACTATTTTGAGTAATTTAAGTAAATCATTCTGGAAAGACACACTACAAAGAACATGTGGGATTTTGTTTTAATATCATAGTAGTACAGTTAACATAAGAAAACTTAAAAAATACTCTGCATTCAGTTCTAGGTATTTGAGATGCCAGGGTCAAATTAGGGGTCATGTTTTTTGTTTGTTTTTAGTTTTATGGCCGACATAGTACTGTTGTTCATCTGCAGACTGTCTAATAGCCATGTGTAATTTCTTTTAGAGTCTTGGGAACTCCCAGCGGGAGTATGAGAAGCAGGTTGTCTTGTACAGTATCCGCAACCAGTTGCGCTACAGAAATAACCTCGGTAAGTGGAGACGCTCCTACACTGGGGTGGAGGTGACGTCGCTGTTGTTTTCACTTTCCAGATCTCTCCTGTTTTCACTGTGTTCTCCATGTATGGACTGGGAGACCATTTGTACTGATTCATTCCACAGAATAACAATTCAGGTTGTGGAGTTTTCTAATCGTCAGGAGAATTCCCTTTTAGTGTGCTGTTTATAGGTCTGTTTTCCCTGTAATACCTTAGTCCCGTGTCGTCTTTGAGTGAGAGAGTGTGCTGAAGGACTCAGGTTCTGTTTTGTCACCAACTCTTTCCTGAGTTCTGTAACTGTAATGAAAACAATAAGAACTGGAACAAGTCTTAAGTACAGTTAGGTCTGTAGGTTTTTTGGTTGTTATGTTTTTCTCCATTGAAATGCTTATTTATTTTTTGTCAAATTAGTTTGGTTATTTTCTGTCTTGATAGTGTGTGTTACTTCTGTTTAAAGCATAATTTAAATATACAGACAAATTCCGTTGACGTCAGAAGGCTTTCTGCATTTGAAAGACAGAACACGGGGACACGGGAGCAGGTTCAGTTTGTTAAAGTGCTTCCTATGTGGGGACCTGAGTTTGGTGTAGAGGTGGTGGCATGCTTCTATTTTTGCCTGGAGGAGGCAGAGATAGGCAGATCCTGGTGGCTCCCTGGGTAGCTTGCCTATCCTAAGTGGTGAGCCTTAGGTCCCAGTGAGAAATCCTGTCAGTAGGGTGTGGTAATATTTTATTTGTGTTTTAATAAATAAAACTTGCCTGGAGATCAGAGGAATAGGAACAGCCATTATAAGTAAACAAATAAGTCAGGCAACGGTAGCACACACCTTTAATCCTATTACTTGGCAGACAGGGATCTGTCTGGAGTTCAAAGCCACACTGGAAACAGAGCCAAGTGGGGTGGCACATGCCTTAAATTCCAACACTAGTTAACCAGGGAGGTTTGGAGGTCAGAAAGTGACAGAGCTGTGTAGGAAGAGGAGGTGATGTAGCTGGACAGTGAGACCAAATCAGATGGCAGAACAGCAAGGCATATAGACGTAGGTAGACAGGAAGTAGCTTGCATTTGGAAGCCGCGGAATTGGTGAGGTAAGGTTAGCTGTGGCTTTCCCTATTTCCCTGATATCTCTCAGTCGTTCACCCCGATATCTGGCTTCGTGTTTTTTGTTTAATAAGACCATTTAGAAACTTATCTACAGTAGGGGGCCTACAGGATAAATTAGCTTTGTGGGTAAAGAGTTGTTGCCAAAGCTCACCATCTGAATTCGATCCCTAGGACCTACATGGTGGAGAGAGAACCAACTCCCTCAAGTTACTCTTTGGCTGCATTTGTGCACACACACTTACATAAGCTGAAAAAAATGAACACAGTGAACACTGCTGAGGAATGATACATGGGGTTGACCTCTGGCCTACGTGTGCAGTACACACACACACACACACACACACACACACACACACACGAACACATCCTTACATGCATGAGTGGACAGACAAATAAGGGGGCTTGGTGGCATGGGCCTGTAATTTTAGCTACTTTGGAGGCTGACATGGGAGAATTGCAAGTTCGAGGCTTCCTGGCCTCTAGTGTGAATTCGAAGCTAGTTTTGTACAGCTCAGTAGTGGTGGATATATGCCCTGGTTTCAATTCTCTCACACTCAAAACAAAAACAAAAAGCAAAATGCCTTTTAAAAATGGGCTTCATTGAAAACTAGTATGTGATCTGGCTGACCTGTGAAGTGATGTGCTCCAGGGTGTAAGACTTACAGCTGTGTCTGTTGGTTCTGTGTGTTTCTTGATTTGGTAAGAATTCTTTTCTCTACTTATATGTCTTATTACGTTTAACTTACATACATTATGAAGACTGTCTAACTTTTTTGTGTGATAAAATTGTTGCTTTGTTACAACAGTTTGTTTGTTCTTATTTAATTTGTATCCTGTTTCAAAAGTTAAAATATGTGTTTCATGAATATATAGTGAAGCAGTAAGAAACCTGGGAAAAGTAGACATTTTTTTTTTCTTACAGTTAAACATGTCAAGAAAGATGAACGCAAATACTATGAGGAGCTGCTGAAATACAGTCGCGATCATCTCATGCTGTACCCTTACCACTTATCTGACATTATGGTGAAGGGCCTGAGGATAACACCATTTTCATACTATACGGGGATCATGGAGGTTAGTTTCTAGTGTGAGTGACAGTTAACAGTGGGGTGGGACTTCGAGCCAGGGACACCTTACAACGGACCACCCGCTTCCCTGCTCTCAGCTGTCATGGATGTTGTCTGTCCACTTGGCTGTGTGTCAGGATGCTCACAAGCTGGCTGAGGCACGCATGTGCACATGGTTGCCATTATTGATGCTTCTGTGTTGGAAAGGTAGTTGCTTGTATTCTGTGATTTTGAAGGTGTTGTTTACCCTTTATGCAGTTATGATACTAATCAGTTATTTACACCAGCAGTTGGTACAGTTATTGTTTGTAATCTGCAAGATTGAAAATGTGGGGTGCAGACTTGGACAGTAAGATCAGAAAAACTTAGTATATTTAACTGTTCACCTTGTATAAAAAATAATGGTGCAGACCCAGCATTATATATATAAAACACATGTCAGGAAGGAGAGTTGTGTCCATTGTCCTGGCTGTTAGTCTCTAATTATTAACTTTTAGCTGGTTTGTACTTGGTTCTTGTTGAATAACTTTATAGTAATTCTATACTTTTTTTTTTTTTTAAAAAAAAGTGAGATTCTATAAAGATGGACCTATACAGCCAGGATTTATTCACTGTTCATATTTGAGTCCTGCTATTTTGGGCTCTCTAGACCCTGGAAGAGCAGAGCAAAGCAGATACTCATAGAAGCCAAGCACCTGCAGTAGCGGGGAGGCTAGTGCCCTGGTGTGATGTGCCTGGTGCCCTTGACTCCAAGCTCCCTGCATTAGCTCTGTAAGCCACTCTTCTCTGGCACTTGTACAGTCTTGTGTTTCTCAGGTTCTCCATTTGGGGTTCTGAGAGTCCCAGTAGCATGATGAAGAAGCATGGTGGTGTAACGAAGTGGCGACTGATCGGTTCCTTCCTCTTGTCTCTTTGATTCGTTTTCTGGTATCCACCAGGTTTGAGAGTAGAACAGAGAGAATTTTTGTACATTTACCAGCTTTCATTTCAATTACATTCCATGCTCACTGTTCTCTGGATTTTTTTTTTCTTAAATGATTGTCAAGTCTGGGTTGAAAATGGGTCTTAGCCAACAATAAATAGTTGGATATTGTTGGAGAAGATTGGAGTTGAAAAAGCCAGATACTAAGTTTACCCTGATACTAATTGAGATAGGAGCAAAGACTTGGAGGTAATTATAGTCTTTGTTCGAAGTGTGTGTTTTGGATACATGTTGATAGAGTTGTCATGTTATTGGCCTTCTCTTGGGGTAGGAATGTAGGCTTAGATATGAAGTGTGGTTAAACTAGAACCCCAAGCTCTAATAGAGACCTCAGGGTAACTGTCTGGGACTCAGAGATTGTTCTAAGAAACCCAGACCCAAAAGCCCACCCTTTATATACTGTGTTGAGGCCATGGACTTAGTACCACAGTGGTGCATGCATGTTCTAGGGTGTCAACTGTGACCTACTGTTTCCTATAGTAATAATTGTTGTTCTATTCGGCTGTAGCATAATATGTATGTGTGTGTATGCATATATATATATGTATGTGTGTGTGTATATATATATGTTTAAGGAAAGTTCTGTTTCATATTTTATATTTTTTCTTTTTCAAAGGACATCATGAATAGTGAGAAAAGTTATGATTCATTGCCTAATTTTACTGCTGCTGACTGTGAGTACCCAGTTGCTAAGGAGTGTGTCTTTGTGTATGCGTATTGTTTATTAGGAAATACTAAAAATTGAGAGCAACATTATTAATGAGAATTTTATTTCATAATACAAATCAGGTGTGAGGTTTAGCCTAATATCCATGGGAAGAGTATTTTGGACTCAGAAAGTTAGGACTAACCTTTATTCTAGAGAATGAAATCTTGCTGTTATGTGGGCTGTGTGTCTGCTGATAGAAGGACAGCCTGCATACTTATCTTACAGTAGCATGTGGAGTTCCACACATGTGACCTGCTAGGTTTCACTGTGCTTATTTTGTGAAATTTATATTTAACATGTGATGTAGTTCTGCACATATGAAGCTTCTGCTGAAAAGCATAATTTTACTTCTTAAAACCAGGAGGACTTCTGCTTTTTCAGCATGTCCTCATTAGCACTGTCCAAAGTGGCCACTTGAATTCATCGCTCCCAAAGTTGAGGTTTCATCTATATTGTGTGATGAATTCTCTTTGATATTGATGGACCATGTCAGTCAGTTACTGAAAGACTATAAATTTGGAGTTTTTTCTAATGTCCCTCAATGTCCACTCACATTTCAAGATGTATTAAAGGAAAGACTTACTTTCAGGTCTGCGGCTTCTTGGCATAGGAAGAAACCAGTACATTGACCTGATGAATCAGTGTAGATCTTCAAAGGTAAAGTCGTCTCTTTTGCTTTACAGCCTCCTTATCAGAACTGGATTAAAACCAGAGTTTGGTTTCAAGTGGTAGATATAACAGAATCTAACTTGAACCAGCTAACGTACATATTATAGGAGCAGGGAACAGATCTTCAGTGTTCACCAGGTCATACCTTAAGTGATTAATAAGTTACAACGTGTAACATTTATTTTTAGAAGTTAATGTTTCTTTGCTTGTCTTTTTATTTGACTATTTTAGCCCCAGAATTCACTTACTAAGTGAAATAAGTTCACATTTTTAAATGTGTTTTTAACTTTGGGGTTTCATTTCATTTGTTTCTGGATTGAGGTCTAGGTTTAAGTAATTTATTTTAAAATGAGAGTGATGCTACAGTATCTAGGCTAGTTAGCATTTTAAACATGAAAATTTGAAAAGATTAGCCTGTTGTAATGTCTTACATGATGATAGAAGAAAGTGGCAATTTGGATTGGTTGCAAATCCTTAAACGTATACTATTGCAGAAATTCTTCAGAAGGAAAACTGCCCGTGATCTTCTACCAATAAAGCCAGTGGAAATTGCCATCGAGGCATGGTGGGTGGTGCAGGCTGGATACATCACAGAAGATGACATCAAGGTAGAGATCCTTATAGACTAAAACCAGAAGACAAAGAAAAGGTTAAAACCAGAATATTTATTTTTTAACTTACTTTATAATTTTTAATGACATTACATAATGTTTTAAAAACTAATATTTGAAGCTAATTCAAATGATCTTAATAGGTTAGATGGAGTTGGCAAAACCCTCTTTAATGATTTAGGAGTCATGATTTGGTTCATGTACAGTAACCTGGGGTCTTAATTAATGGTCTCTTTAATTAGTGGTCTCGTGTAAAGGGACATGATGTCACACCTAGCGGCCATAATAATATGGCTAACTTCTGAACACTGACTTTGTGCACATGTGCTGTACATTAATGTAACTGTGTTCTTGTCTCCTTTAAGGCTCCTGACAACCCCAGGAGAAAGAATTGTTAGTACCCAGTTCATAGATGGGGAAAGAGAACACAAGGCAGTTAACTGAATGACTCAAGTTATAATGATAGGAGGGTCCAAGATTGACAGATACTCAGTGCAGTCACTGTTGAATTACACTGAATAGGGTAGGTGCCTTGTTGGGGTAATAGTATCAAGATCAAGAGCAGTGATACCCCACAAGTTGATCCAAGCTGTACATATTTTGAAAAGGATGCTGATTAAAGAAAGAGTAGAGGCCAAGGAATGTCTGTGCTGTTGAAGGAATGTGTGTGACCTTTACACTTTTGTTTATGGATTAACGCTTGTCTGTGTCCTTCTGGAGGGCATTTCAAGTTGGAAGCTTCAGATGTGTTGCTTCACTGAAGCCCTTCCTAACATAGCTGTCATAACTTCATCAGTGGTGTTCATGGGGAATTTTTCTTAGTGGACTTAGTGGTAAGGATTTGGATTCATGTATCTGATTCCATTTTAAAGAAAAAGAATAAACATTGGTGTCTGTCAGTGAGCATTTACTGCTGACCAACAGATGTTAGTACTTAGGGTGATTTTGTTATCTAACCTGTTGGCACCTTAGTTTGGCAATTTAAGTGATGGTTATGTGCATAGTTTTATTATTTAAATTCTAAGGTGATATTGTTCATTCCATACATGTAATCAGTCATGGGTTCCGATGTGAATACATCTTAGGAGACTTACAAATTAGTTAGTTAGGACAGAAGTTAATTGAAAATGTTTTCTTCTTCTTAGATATGCACTTTTCCTGAGAAAGGCGCTATTGATAAGATCATCGACTCAGGCCCTCAGCTCGCTGGGTCACTCGATTACAATGTAGTACACAGTAAGTGCTTAGTAGGCATGGTCTCTGTCAACTCAGAAACCTGTTTGAAACAGTTGAGAAGGAATACCAGTTACTCTACCAGCCCAAATCGAGTCTGTTGCCTAAGTCATGTTACTTGAAATGTGATCTCAGGCTTTTATTTTCTGGTGTGGATGTAATTACAGGCCTACACAAATGAATGGTAAGAGATTTGGAGTTCAGAAAGTGTGTAAGAAATCAAGTTAGAAAATCTAGTTAGTTTTCTCTTACACTATTTTCTTTTTCTTCATGTAGCATTCAGTTTAAGACATCACAGAAAGACAGAAGTCAGGCTTGTAGGAAAAAAAATGGTATTTTATAGTGTCCCATCTAAAATAAGGTGCTTTTGTTTTTGTAGGTTTGTATAACAAAGGCTTTATTTACCTGGATGTACCCATATCAGATGACAGTTGTATAGCTGGTAAGTCTGGGCTGACATTTAGCACTCTATCTTGAATGACTACTTGAAGTTAAATGGTGTGTATCAGCCTAATACATTTAACACAAATCATTCTATAATCTTAGCTATTCATAGTTGTAAAAGAACATTTTATTTTTACATTTAACCCATTGTGGTTTTATTAAAATTTCTTATTTAATTTTTCATGTTATTTTGATATAAATACTATATTAAAATAGTAGAACTTTAAGATAAATTTCCTACAATCCCAAATGAGATCACTGTTAAGTTTTAAATTTTGTAGAAGTACTGAACTTATATTTAGATGTTTGTAATAAGTAGTTTTTTGATATCATTCATCTATTGTCATTGTTTATGAGTTAAAAAAAATGATACTGAAACAATGTTTGTGAGAAAGAATATGAAGCGTTAGATTCTGGAGAATGACTTGATATTGAGAAATAGATGGTAGTTTGGCTGATTCCAGAACTATTTCCTCTTGTCAGTGTTATCTTGACGGGTCATCAGGCTGTGGCACATCTTGATCTTTGAGTTAGCATGTTATGAGATTCATTCCCCAACCCAGTAATGCATCGTGGACCGCTTGCGTGAATTCTGTTTAAGCTTGGAAAGACAGTTAAAAAGGAAGGGAAACACTAACTTAGTTAATCTAGGTTTGAAGTTGACGCTATAGCAAGTGGAATAATAGGTTTAGACTTGAAGCCTGTTAACAAGGAAATGAGTCCCTGGAGACAGAAGTGGTGGTAGTAGTTTCCTCACTGTTGGGAATGTGCAAGATTTATTCTAGTCCCTATTCTTATCTGTAAGCTGATCTGACTTGAGAGTCACTCAGGTTAGGTTAGTGGATTGTTGATTTCAGTCTGTTTTAACTGCTGACGATCTGAACACTGACTTACTTTAGTGTCTTTTTGTTTTGAGGTTCTAATGTAGCCCAGGTTAGCCTTGAACTTGTATGTAGCTGAGGCTGGCTTTGAGTTACTCCTGCCTCTGTCTTCTGCATGCAACAACAGTGGACTTTGCGTAGTTCTTTGGTTCACTGGAGAGAAGAGAGAGAGTGAATGGTGGTGTCTTGGTTGTAGTCACAGTCTGCCGTTTGACTCAGTAGTTGGCAGTTAGCTGGTGCAGACAGACGCTTGCCTTTAGCTGCTTGTTAGCACGTCACCGTTCTTGTCTGGTCTTTTATTTGAAATAACCCACAAGGGTGAAGTTGGCAGCATGGAGGCCATCAAATTCAGCATGAAACCCTTGCAGGCTATTTCAGAGGAGGCATCCACATGGTCCACAAAGATGTGAGTGCTGTGGATGGTGAACCAGTCATGTATGGAGGAATGAAAGCTCTTAGAGGGGTGATTGTGGAGGACTCCAATGTTAACACAGTGACTCTGTCTTTAAAGAAATACTGGTTTATTCTCAGGGAAGTCCATACAATGTATTTTATCATATTCACCTCTCAACTCTTCCCAGATCACCTTCCCCTCCCCGACTTCCTTCCTTCCTTCCTTCCTTCCTTCCTTCCTTCCTTCCTTCCTTCCTTCCTTCCTTCCTTCTTTCCTTCCTTCCTTCCTTCCCTCTCTGTCTCTCTCTCTTTCTTCCTTTCTTTCTTTCTCTTTCTTTTTTTTTTTTTTTTTAAAGAAGATACTGTCTTACAGCAGATGTCCTGGTTCTTTAGCTCTTACAGTCTCTTTTTTTACATGTGTATTTTAATGCTTCAGTGCCTGTATTTGTCTGTAATTCTTTAATGAAGGACTTAAAGAATATATTGAAGAATTATACACACACACACAATAAAAGTTCATAATAACTTGTCAAATCTGTAGTCTGTCTGGAACGTATTTTCATACTTGATATGAAATAATGCTTTCATTCTCTTTAGATGACCAGTATCTTAAAAAAACAAAAAAAACACACAACCCTGGATTCTGACCTGTAGCTTAAGAAGCTGGAAATGTTATCATTTATACTAATTTCTACAGAGAAAATATTTTACTGTTTAAAATAACCCTGAACTTTTAAATTATAACCTGTTTTTATGTTCAAGCTATCTGTATATTATTTCTCCTACAGTTGTACATAAAATATTTTTACATTCAAAAAAAGAACAAATACTGTAGAATTGTATTACATGAAATATATAGAATATACAAATTCATAGAGGCAGAAAGATTAGGTGTTATCTCAAGATAGAGAAGAAAGGAGTATAGAGCAATGATTTCCTAAGTACAGAATCTCTGTTTTGTGTGAAGGAAAACCCCCACAAATGGACAGTAGTATCAGAACATAGTATCATGAATGTAATAAATTAATACAATTAATATGATTAATGAATATCATATATATAATTATGGAATGAATACCACAAATGTAATTAATATCATGAGTGTAATTAATATCATGGGTGTAATTAAAAAGAGTTGTCTCCTAGCAAGCATTCATTCAGTGAATGCTTGAACACAGCAGTACTGTAGGATAAGAAGTAACTTGTCAAATAGGGACTTGCTAAGATATTTCTAAGAAACCTTTAGTGTTAATTGTGGGGAATAATTCAGTGGCCTATGCACCCCGCTTTCTCATGAGATCGTTTTATTTTGTGTATGTAAGTGCATGGGATGCATGTACATGCTGTGGTGTTCATGTGGAAGTCAGCCCAGCTTTCGGGAGGCTAATGCTTTCCTGTCACGTGGTGACTAGACTTAGGTGTTGGGCTTGACATCAGGTGCCTTCACCCAGTGAGCCATCTTGCCAATGCTTCCCCAAGGCATTGTGAAGGGAAGCACACACCTGTTAGGGTGTGAGAGAACAAGAGCACACTCCTTTACCTAAGTTCACTAGGCCGAGCTTGCCGGTCAGTCAGACAAAAGCGGCGGATGGGTGTCTAGACAAGAGATAGCCTGAGTGACTGGACATTCCACCATGGCTGCCTGCTGTGCTGAAGAGTCTGGACCTCTGGCCACTGAGGAGGAGCAGATGTTAGCCACTTCTGCTGCCGACTGCACTGCTTCCAAGGAGTGTAAACGTTCAAACAGTCTTGTGTGGCTCACTGTCTTGGCCTGTGAGGCTTCAGAAGGAGATTATCACAAACCTTTGTAGGCTCAGTTCTGCTCCGTGTTTTCACCAAGCCTAGACTGTCTAGTATTCCGTTCGCCTCAGTAACTCGGAGGGTTCCGTGAGAACCCTTTACACAGCTCTGTGTAGATGGTGTGTGTGGCCTTGACTGGGAACTTTTGAAAGGTTACTATGTAGTAGATGGAATGCATAAAAGCTGTATTCTGTCTCTGAATGATTTCTCTTTTTGCATAGGCATTTGAGTTCTCCTTTGTTGTTTTATGAAAGCTAGTGCTGAGAAAAGTCTGTTTTGTTTATTTCAGTTCCTCCTCTGGAAGGTTTTGTAATGAATCGGGTACAAGGTGATTATTTTGAAACTCTACTCTATAAGATATTTGTCTCAATAGATGAGCACACTAATGTTGCAGAGGTAAGTGTGGCAAAAACATTTTTGAATGTTGATATGCTGATAGTTCTGAGAATGGAATCGTAATTTTCAATTTTGTTTTATAGCTCGCAAATGTCCTTGAGATAGACTTATCACTGGTGAAGGTATGTTATTTTTTACCTTTTATTTGTAGTGTGAGTACTGGCTGGATTTTGCTGTTTGATTTTTCTCTTGATACATTACTGATCCTTATTGGCTGCTTGAGGAAATGTGCATGGTAAAGGGATAGTTGCAGAGAGAAAGGGGGAGCTGAGAAGCTCTGAGTCGGTTTTCCACCAGGTGAAACAGAGCACTCACATTAGTGTGGGCAGCAGGAGGCCAGTGTCTGCTAAAGCTGCACCTCTAGCCTCTTTAGAAGAGGGTTTAGGGGGGTGGTGGTCCTGGCCAGACTGCTATGTAGGTAAGATATGGAAATGCTCGCACATCACCAGAGGCCTGGTCTCTTACAGTGTTTTTTTCTCCACAACTATTCTGATGTCTGTTTTAATGCTAATTTTCCTTAACATTCCTTTCAGAATGCTGTTTCAATGTATTGCCGATTGGGTTTTGCTCATAAGAAGGGACAAGTAATAAATTTGGATCAACTTCATTCATCATGGAAGAATGTTCCATCTGTGAACAGATTAAAGTAATTCATTTATTCCTTTGTATGATGCAGTTTGCTTTTGAAAACAATTTTCACATGTAGGAAGTTTATTTATTTACCATGCCGTTGAGGTGAATCCTGTGGATAGTGTCTCAGTCATCTTGGTGTGATGGAACTTCAGTATAATCTGATGAAAACCAAGAGCATGTTGTTTAGGAGAAAAGTACATCTGATATTTTATAAAATGTATAGAACTTGGATTCCCTGAAGCCTGTGCTTGAATTTTAATTATAATTCTTTCTTTTTTTTTTTTTTTTTAAATTTGGTTTTCGAGACAGGGTTTCTCTGTGTTGTTTTGGTGCCTGTCCTGGATCTTACTCTGTAGACCAGGCTGGCCTCAAACTCACAGAGATCCACCCGGCTCTGCCTCCCGAGTGCCGGGATTAAAGGCGTGCTCCACCACCGCCTGGCAGGTTTTAGTTATAATGCTTTCTGTGTGTGTCCAAAGCATTTGAGAACTCCTCTCAGTTCCACACGTGTGTGTTGGCCTATAGTCTGGTGGATTGTTCGTAGTTGTAAGTACCAACTGTACTTTCAATAAGTAGCTGTTTTCATGTGAGATCATTTATGTGATTTTTAAAAAGTGAATGTATTCTTCATTAATAGGAGTACTTTAGACCCACAAAAGATGCTCTTATCATGGGATGGCGGGGAAAGTAGGAGTCCTGTGCAAGAAGCTTCTTCGGCCACTGACACTGATACAAATAGTCAAGAAGACCCAGGTTAGCAGCAACTCAGTTTAACTTAGAGCTTGTCTGTAGGTCTGCCAGCTGTCCAGACACGGCCCTGCATCTCCTTTATAGCTCTGTATTAGACCTCTTACCAATATTGTGAACACTATGCTAAGTCTCGAAGGTATGATAAATAAGAATACGGCACTTGCTTTCTAGAAATTAAGTTGAGAGAGAAAAGGGGAGGAACATAGCCCCAAAAAACAAAAACCAAACAAACAAAAACCCAAGCAATTGTGGTATTTGGGGCTGCAAAAAAAAAAACAAAAACAAAAACAAAAAACAAAAAAAAACCCCACAAAAAGACAAAACTTCTTTACATTCAGGAAGAGGCTATGGGTTAGAGTGGCTGTGAGTTCACTGGCCAATGAGGGAAGGCCACGTCAGCCCAAGAGTAAGTAAGTGCAGGCTAAGCCCAGAATCCGGAGACACACAGGGTTTAAAGTTGAGGGTAGCAGGAACTTGGGGTGGCCTTTCTCCTGTTCTGCCTGTTACCTGAGACACACACTGAGGAACATAGGCCTATTGATAGTACTTACTGATCTTGGTGATCATCGAGAATTTTTATTTCTGGTTTTCAAGGAAGTTAACTGTGCTAGTTTGCCTCTCTGTTGCTGTGATAAAATACCCTGATCAAAAGCAATTTGAGGAGGAAAGGGGTTTCTTTCCCCTTTCCATCAAGAAGGGAAGGCCAGGCAGAAACTCAGGCAGGAATCTGCAGGCAGGAATTGAGAAATCTTGGAGGAATACTGCTTATCTGTTTAGTCCCCAGGCTCATGTCCAGCTACCTTTCTTATACTTCCCAGGGCCAACTGCTCGGGGTGGTACCACCCACATCAATCATTAATCAGGAAAATGCCCCCAGACTTGTCTAATGGAGATGTTTTCTCAATTGAGGTTTCTCCTTCTCCAAAGATTCTGGCTCTTGTCAAGTTGACTAACTAGGACATCAACACAAATTTAAATGACTTTTAAAGTTAAAAAAAAAAATCGTCCTCATCTGCTGTTAGTACATGCTTGCAGTCATAGTACTGGGAAGCTGGATGCAGGAGGATTGGAATTCAAGGCCAGTTTGTGCTACGTAGTGAGACCCTGACTCAAAGAAACTTAACTGTCTTAAGACTACAATATTGCTTATATTTAATTAAGTTTGTTTGGCTATCAGACAAAGCTGAAGTAAAAAACTTACTTCAGATGATAAGCAAAACAAAGGCTTTTGTTGACCTGCTTTCCTATTCTGACTTTTTTTAGCCGACACAGCCAGTATAAGCAGTCTGGGTCTGTCCGCTGGGTATACCAAGCGCATCGCCTTCTTGTTTGACTCCACTCTTACTGCATTTTTAATGATGGGAAATCTCTCACCAGTAAGTCAAATGCTTGTTTCAATATAACGACATTTAAAGATGCGATATCAAATCCTTCAGTACTTTATAAAAACGTCTTTACGTTCAGAGCTAGTCCTGAAAGCAGCCAGCTATGTTTTACATTCCTCAGACCGCACGAGAGTTTCCAGTGAGGGCTGCTGTTGTAGTTGGAAGAACCAGTTGCTCATGTTGTCCATCTTTTAGTTTAAAGATATTATAAAGCATAAGTAATGTCCATAGCATGAAAAGGAAAACCAGAGCTATAATATTGTGCTTCTTTCGCAGAACTTGAAGAGTCACGCAGTCACCATGTTTGAAGTAGGCAAACTCTCGGATGAGTCTCTGGACAGCTTCCTTATAGAACTGGAGAAGGTCAGTGCACCAGGGCAGCACACCTGGAACTTTCCTGTTACATGCAGGGCCAGTTCTGCTAATCGGCGCCTGGTCATGTCACTACCCCATCTTATCCTGTGGTGCTCACTAGACTTCAACACAGTGAAGGACTGAATGGGTTCTGGGATTTGTAAGCAGGCAGGACTAACTCTTAGTATGAGTCGATGTGTTGAGAAATGAGTATAGACATCTTACTATGTGTAATCTCTTTAATTTTTTCTAACCTTTTATTTCTTTAATTTGGTGTGACTGAGGTAGGATCTGAGGCACTCTTACTTAAGTCTTTGTTCCTGCTGCTTTCAGTCTGCAGAGTATCCCTGAGTATGGTATTATGTCTGCCGTCACTGCCTCTGTTAGCATCTTGGAGACATCAGCTGTATTTGCTTGGTATTAACCCCCTTTTCCCCGGGAGCAAGCCCAGTCTCACGTGCTCTCTGTTGGTGCTTTTCACTGGATGTTTGAGTCCGTCCTATGTTCTTTGCAGGCTGTGTTATCAGATCTGTTCCTTGGCTAATAGTTTTGGTAGGTTTGTGATTTAGTTATTTTTTGTATATTAAATGTTCTATTTAGAGAATTTGCAGTGATTTTATAATTTCTTTATGTCATAAATAGTTTTTTTACTATTCTATAGGATTTTTGCATTCATTACTACAAAAAATATGAAATAATACCAGTTGGTTTCATGTTTTCAATCTTTATTCCTTATTCTCCCAGATGTATTGCTAGTTATTATTTTATTGTCTCCCTGTATTTTACATTCTGATCTCTTGATTACTTCTGTATGTTTTTTGGATAAAGCAGAGCTGGCTTTAGAACTTTTTCTCTTTGAATCATACAGAGGACAAAGAGCTTATAAAATGTGCTGTTTAGCAGTTGATTCAGTTGTTGAAATTGTTATACGTAGCGTCCTTTCCATCATCTTCATAGATGTACTACATTAGGAACTATCTTAGTCAGGTTCTATTGCTGTGAAGAGACACCATGACCATGGCAACTCTTGTAAAGGAAAATATTTCATTGAGGGACTGCCTTACAGTTCAGAGTTTCATTCAGTCCGTTATCATCATGGCAGGGAGCATGGCGGCGTGCAGGAAGAGGTGGTGCTGGAGGACTAGATGAGAGTCCTACATCTTGCAGATAACAGGCAGTCGACTGAGACACTGGACGGTGTCCTGAGCATAGAAAACCTCAAAGCCCGTCCCCACACTTCCTCCAACAGGGCCACACCACCTAATAGTGCCACTCCCTTTGAGCTTATGGGGGCCAAATACATTCAAACTACCACAGGAACTAATTCAAAATTGGTCAAGGTGACTTGTTTCAGTATTTCCTGGGCAAGTTTTTGAATTACTTTTTTGTTGTTGTTTGGGGGTTTTGTTTTGTTTTTGTAGTATCTTTATACATATGTTACATGATTTTAGTAAATGGCATGAGAGTGGTATTTTAAAAAACATTGTTTCCTCTTGGTTTAGGTTCAGAGCACTGGAGAAGGAGAAGCACAGAGATACTTCGATCACGCGCTGACTCTGAGGAACACCATCCTCTTTCTGCGTCACAATAAAGATCTGGTTGCTCAGACTTCGCAGTCCGACCAGCCCACCTACGGTATGAAAATCCACTTGATTGTGAAGCCCCAACTGTGAACATCTTTCCCAGACTTGAAGCAGACCACGCTCCTCATTTCATCAGCATGCTTTCCGACATTTCGTAGCTAGCAGATGGGATCTATAGTTAGAAGCTCGCTCTCTGAATGTCCTTGTCACGGTTGCTTACCTTCCTTGGCTTTCTTCTCTTTTCCTGTACCGCTGACAGTCGTATTTAAATCTGCTTAGACTTAGTGTTCCTACAGGAAGCTGCTGGACTTCCATTTCAGTAGATGGCCAACACAAACAGACTCAGCTCGGTGGCGTTGTTTGGAGGTCCTCATCTCAATGCTTTGTCTGGACAGAGACAAAGCATTTTTTCCCCTTACAAATCGTTTATGGTTTTTCTGTGTGTGTGTGAACTTCTGTTTCTCAGTGTCTGTATGTTTCTTGTGCCTTTCTTCTTTTTGTTTGCTTGTTTCGTCCTATTCCAGTTTGTTTTTAATCTTACTTTATTATTGTTTTAAGATGCCTGTTTGCACACTAATGAGAGAGGAAAAAGAAAGGGTGTAGATTTGGGTGAGTAGGGAGTTGGAGGGCAAACTGTAATCAGAACATATTATATGAAAAAAATCTATTTAAAAAAAAGGCATCTTTCCAGTATCATCAGTATAGGTTAGACATAAAATCCACTATTTGTAATTTGGTAGCCTAGTACTTTGGAAAGATTTGGAAACTACATTTATAGATGAGCAATCATAGTTACAAAAATCTTAGAAAGCTCTCCAGTTGCTGTGAGCTTTGGGTTTATAGTTCCCTGCCCTAATGTACATTAAGTACATTTCATAGTTGGTACTGATAACGTTGACTTTTGCCTGAAGGTTAGGAAACCTCTCACCCCTTTGTGTTTTGGAAAACAGCTTACTTAAGGACCATCCTTTTCCCACACAAGTTATGTGAGAGTTCTGTGTTCCACCCCTGTTCATGTCTGACAAGGCCAAGACAGATCCCCTGGGTTCTCTTTCTTTGCCTCCCATCTGATCAGTCAGAACAAGATGTTTGTTGGTCAAACTGTAGTAGGCGTCTTTGCCAATCCCAGGCTCCCAGAGTTCACACTGACTCACACCTTACAGTACAACATTGTCTAGTTCTGTACCTCATCTGTACCTGTTCTGTACAGGTTCTACTGTTCTGTACCTCATCTCTTCACACCACTTACCACTTTGTTTGTGCCCTGTATATCTACTCTGTAAAGACCTTAGGTCACTGTTACATTAGTCTATTACAGCTGGGCGCCGTGCCCTGCAATCCTTTCCAGCAAAGTCTTTCCTAAAGACTAACGTTTTTTCTTGGATTTTTCTCAGTAGTGTCTTTCTTACAGTTTCTCACGGTACAATGTCAATCTCTTTGGCCTTTGTAATGGTTATCTTTTCCTTTCTCTCCCTTTCCCAAGCCTGCTGACTTGTGTCATTTTACTCCAGGGTGCAGCCTCTGCCCCAGCAGTGTCACTTGGTAGAGGGCATTTCTGCTGACCCTGCACTCTAGCCTTTGTATCTGCCTGGTGTAGACCAGTGTAGACCAGGTGCTGTCCCCATAACCGTACACTCCGTCCTTCCACTAGACCACAGACCTTAGGCTCTTTAGAATAGGATTCTACTGAAAAGCAGCAAGAATAGGAATAATCTTTCGGCACGGAATTTGGGAATAAGTTGTTTATCATGACCTTGGCATGATATTCAGGGCTTATTAGAAATACAGCTGTTGTGTTAAAGCAACTTCTGCTATGTCTGTGTCCCGCCCACTGGCTGATGGATAATGTTGATAGCCTTCACAGTGCTTTCTTTCCTCTTCAAGGACAGATCCAGGCTAGGAAACGCTAGACCAAGTGATGCTCATTTTCTAGAGGATTTGGAGTCTGGACCCATGTGCTGTTCATCTGCCTCTTGATGATGATATTAATTTGCTCACCCAGTTAATGTGTCACCCGATTCCTTCATGATGAGGCTATTTTTTTTTTCCTCAACTAAAAGGAAATCTATGGGAGTTACTTGAAGACCTTGCAAGCATACTGCTTCTCTTTTGTCTCCCTGAGATTCAGCATCAGCAGTGACTCTTTCTCCACTATAGTGGTTGCAAGTTGGTCATGTTCCCTACTCACCTCCATATTTAACAGTTCTCTCAGTGATTTGTCGTCATTACTGTCTTGGTTATTTCTGTCCTTACTTCTCATTTTACCCTCAAACTGGTTTTTGTTTCCTTATGACATAACTCCATTCCCACTCCCCCCCCCAATAATACCTTATGTGTAACAAAACAGTACAGCCTGATGTTACTCTATACTTATTAAGCAGTCTCCTAGGAAACGGCTTTTTGCGTTGGGGGGGTGGGGGCAGGCGCGGGCTGCATGGACACTCATGTGTGAGAGCCTAGGGTCCTGCTTGGGGCATCTTGGTCCTCTCAGTAGTCTGTACACTTCTTTAGATGCATTCTTATTTGAAGGGGCAAGTGGCTCACTGATTCTCTGGAGTTAGTTTCAGTCTTAAATATGTCCTTTAGAGAGCAATAGGATTTTTTGAAGTGTGTGTGTGTGTGTGTGTGTGTGTGTGTGTGTGAGAGAGAGAGAGAGAGAGAGAGAGAAAGAGAAAGAGAGAGAGAGAGATTGATTGATTGATTGATTGATTGATTGTGGGCTTGAGTGTGTTGATCATACACATGGAGGCCAGAGGCCAGATTTTCAGGAGTCATTTCTGTCATTTTGTGGGCTCTGGGGCTCAGACTCAGGTAGTCAGTCAGGCTTATGCAACAGGTAGTGTGTTGCTGGAGAACTCAGGAGAGAGGGTGAGAAGGTGCGGGAGTCAACAGCACAGACCCCAGGAGTCAAGTAAAAGGCAAACAGCAGACTCATTTTTTCAGCAATGGGGAGATCCTTATATACCCTCCTCATAGCACCCAGGCTGTGTCCTGATCTGGTGACATTATGTGGTCTCCCCTCATTGGGTAGGCATGATCAGGACCTCTGACTGCCTGTTGCTAGGCCCTCAGGCAGACTCCAGATTGGCTCATCTAGGCCTTCGCTTCCTACAGTACTGTTCACTATCTGCATAGCTATCTCTCCAGCCCAGAGAGCAATAGGATATTCTGTTTTCCAGAGGACTAAGGGCAGTGGGTTGTTTAAGATGCATATTGAATCCCTGTCCTATGGATCAGCAATTTAGGGTACAAATTTCTAACTGAGGAATGCTTAACTTTATGCTAGAATCAGATCTGGGCTGTAATTTTCTCTAGTTCAGTGGCTCTCAACCTTCCTAATGCTATAACCCTTTAATACAGTTTCTCTTGTTGTGGTGACCCTCAACCATAAAATCATTTTTATTGCTACTTCAGAACTGTAGTTTTGCTGCTGTTAATGAATGGCAATGTAAGTATCTGTGTTTTCTTTTCTGATGGTCTTAGGCAACTCGGTGAAAGGGTCATTCAGCCCCCAAAGAGGTTGAGACCTACAGATTGAAAACTACTGCTCTAGAGATTGCAGTCTGGGGGAGAGAAGGACACAGCTTTCCTTGACATTTTGGCTCTCAGAATTTACTGCAGAGTGCTTGGGATGGGAATGGAATGAATAGTATGGTTCCTGAAAGAGAATCTAAAGAAGCTGCACTAGAAGACAGCTCTCGTTCTAGACCAGAAACTTCAGTTTTACATTTTAAAAATGTCTTTATGTCTTGTTACAAATTTGGTACTCTGTAGTAGTTATTGTACCTTTAAAAAATAGTAAGTCTTGATACAGCATCCTCGGGGCCTGCGTAAGTCTGCACCAGGTTTCTATGTATATATTATGGCTTCCAGTTTAGTGTTTTTATGGGATTCCTGAGTGTGCAAATGAGTGGGTCTCTGATTCTTGTGCCTTTTCTTGGGCTCTTTTTGTTCTTTTTGTCTTGTTCATTTCCAGTGTTATAGTTTTTGTTTTATTGTGTTTTATTGCCATCTCTTAGAAGCCCATTCTTTTCCAACAAGAGACAGAAAGGGAGTGGGTCAGGATGGGAGGGGAGTTGGGGAGAAACTGGGAGGAGCAGGAGTGGAAACCAGTATTATGTGAGGAAAGACTCTATTTTCAGTAAAAGGAAAAAAATAAGTCTTAAGGCAGCAATCACCAGTTTATCTTCAACATTTTTGTTTCACACGGTCAAGCCTCCTTGTGTGCTTAATTGTGATTTAGGTTTTCCCCTGGATCTCTTGCGTTGCGAAAGTCTTCTTGGTTTGGACCCAGCGACCTGCAGCAGAGTTCTAAACAAAAATTACACACTGCTTGTCTCCATGGCACCTCTCACCAATGAAATCCGGCCAGTCAGCAGCTGTACCCCTCAGGTAATGACTCACTTGGGGGATACAGATGGGAATGTGGTTATTTCATTAAGGAAACAAGTCAGTTTTCTATTGCCAGATGCTGCTGTCAAATTCAGGTTGTGAAGTGTAATTGGTATATTTAGCTTGTGCATCATTAAGTGACTCGTGACACATTAGATTAAAAATTATTCATGTGAAGTATTTTAAGAGAACATTTTGAATGCTCCAGAAAGCAAGCTTGGATGAATTTAATTAGGAAAATATCAGCTATTTCAGGAAAGTAGAGTTGTGATGCTAAGTTAGCTGAGAAGAGAAGATGGACTTTGTAAGCTAGAGCTTCGTAGTCAACTTCAGACCTCGTCAGAATGACTGCTGGTCTTTGCTTGTGAAGAAGAAGTGAGATATGTGTCTTTATATACTCAGCAAGGAAGATGTACTTGTGACATTTTTCAGAGAGTGGAAGTTATACAGTTGTGCAGTGGTCTATCCTGCCTTAATACTTGGTGTTAGAAGAGAGGAGGGGATTTTGGTACCAAATTTGTTTTTGCTGCCTGTGTGTCCTAGTTGACTCAGATCTCTCAGCCCTATGACAAAATTCTGGTCTTGTGTTAACAGCAGTGGTCCTAGATTTGCTTTTAACTAAGCTTTTGTATAATTCTTTGTACCCCCTGCTATTTAACTCAGTGTGTTCTCACAGTAGAGATCTATGAACTGTCTGCACAATGGGAAAGTGGATGGAGGGAACATCATCCTTTTTTTGAAAAATAACATGATTGATAATAATAACAATAATAATAATAATAATAATAATAATAATAACTACTACTGTAATGTGGAGCTTATTTGCCAGGCACTACTTTAAGCAACTGTACAACATCTTCATGTGGTAGCTACTTTCTTGTAGATGGAGCAAATGAGGCACAGAGTAAGGAACTTTGTTAAGGTGATGTAGCTGGAGGGATGGAGCCTAGACTCAGAGGCTGTCCACTCCACAGTTGAGTTTCTTAATGGTGTAGTGATACGGTGTGTCCTCTTAATACCAGTATGAAAAGAAAACTATTTTACTGGATTAATTAATTAATTTTCATAAGGATAATAGCAATTAAAATACGTATGAAGCATTTTCTACTTAGAAGATTATACTTGGTCATTTGTGAAATTTGACTCTTTGGATAAGTATTATAGCTTTATCTTTTTTATGGCTATAGCATATTGGACCAGCTATCCCAGAAGTGAGTTCTGTCTGGTTTAAATTGTATATTTACCATGTCACGGGGCAAGGACCACCATCTCTATTGCTGTCCAAAGGTACAAGACTTCGGAAACTGCCGGATATATTCCAGGTATGTATGTGGGGTGTGCCCCTCCTTTGTGTTCCATTCTGTTCAGGATTGAACCCAGGGCCTCCTGCATGCTGGGCAAGCACTGTGAGCTGTTTAAGGGAAAACAGAAAGTACTTGGTAGTATTAAGTCACTTTCTTAATTTTTCCCTTCTGTAGAGTGCCATTTCATGTGTTATTTGTCCTTCCAATAGGGTTATGATCGGTTACTTATAACCTCTTGGGGCCATGATCCCGGGGTAGTTCCTACGTCAAACGTGCTCACGATGCTGAATGATGCTTTAACACATTCTGCAGTGCTAATTCAGGTATGTTTTGTCTCGTTTGCAGCAAAGTAAATTTAGGTTTCTTATCACTTGTATCACACCATCCAAATGCAGCTGAATTGTAGTCAGATAACATTTACTTCAAAGTTGAGTTCTAAGGACTCGGGGCTGCCAGACCATTTTTGTGGGAGTGGTAGAGCAAAGTGGACGGTGAATTTGGACCACACTTTAATTGAAGTCTCACTGTTAACTGCAAGTCTTTTGTTTTTTAAATAACTTGTTGATCTGTAATTCATGTGGTATAAGTAAGCAGTTTAAATTGTACAGTTCAGTGGTTTTTAGTTTCTTTCCTGATTTGTGTAGCTGTCAGCAACTCAACTTTAGAATATTTTTGTCTGCTCAGGAATGAACGGTATTCTGTTCCTCTGTTTTCCCTCTAATCCCCTTCCCCCATTCTTCCTAAACCTAAATAACATACTATCTCTACATTTGCATAGCTTAGTCTGGACATTTTATGTCTATGGCCTTTGATGTGCTGGATTTTGGACATGTTGGGGATCAGGCAATTGAAAATATTCTGAAATTCAACTTAGAGGCTGCAGGAGAGATGACTGAAGTGTCAGCCTCAGCAGATAGGTGGTAGCTGAATTCTTGAGAAAATGAAGTTAGTCAGGGGAACGGTGTGGTAGGGAAAGTGATAGGAGGTGACAAACAGATGTGCTGGACCTGGACTTTAGTGAGACTGTCCAAATTCATGTCATGGTTCCACTAGTGATTGATTGCTGTCTCAGACAAGGTAAATGACCTCTCTGAGTTCCAGTGGCTCTAGCTGTCTGCTGGAGATGATAGGAACCCCTGTCTTTCTCAGGGTGTTGAAGAAATTGGCTGAGATGAGACTTGTCATAAAGTGCTTTGCACTGAGCCTGACAGGGGCAGGTGTGAGGGTGTCGTGGTGGTGATAGGTGAGGCAGCTATGGGCATTGCTTCCTCTCTTGTGACTGTTGTGTCCACTCACTTCTATAAAGTGAGGGTGATTGCCAAGGTCCATTCTGCACGTAATAGTTAATAAGTCAGGGCAAATCATAGGGATTGTGTTGTTGTTTTGGTATCATAAATATGAATAGGAAAAGATGGGTTTATTAGTGACTTTTCTCTTTGCTGCAACAAAGTACCTGGCCAAAGCAACCTGAAGAGGTTTGTTGTGGCTCACAGCATGAAGGGAAGTCCATGGCGGAGGGGGAGATGGGGTAGCAGAGTAGGAGGCTGCATGAGTGAGAGGGGAGTGCTTGTTCCATGGGCTGTGGCTTCCCACCTCTGACCCTGGTGGCTCTGTGCTTCCTCACGTCCTGTCATGCTGGTTAGAAACTGTCACTGCAGGAAATCAGCAGATGACACCTGCTGGCAAAGTGTCTGTTCACAGATCTGCTCTTGTTAGAAAAGAACACCTCCTTTATGGAGAAGCTTCCCTTGTTAGAATTTGAGAAATACTACAATTAAGATTTTTAATAGAACTACAATTTTATTTACAACTTTCTAGTTTCGGATTAAATCATAAATATCTATGGAGTAGATGAGACATTTGTCAGAAACACATTATGAACTGTTTAAATGAGAGTGATTTCATACTAGTGTGGTTGCGTATCGAGTGTGATTTCTTGGCTTTATCAATCATACCTCCTTCCTCTCTGTAGACTTTCTGCCGCCCACTCCCTTTCCTTCACTCTCTTCCTTTGTGTGTCATTTTGAGGCAGGGTCTCACATAGCCCTGGCTGACCTTGAACCTGATGTGAGCCACTTTTCTCTGCCTCCCAATGCTGGGGTTCCAGGCGAATGCACCAATTTCAGTTTGCTTTTCTGTTACTGTGATAAAACACACTGACCAAAAGCAGCTTGGGGGAGCCGGGGTTTATTTGGGTTCCACTTTAGGTCACAGTCTGAGGAAAATGGGGGCAAGAACAAAAGCAGGAACCATAGAGGAACACTGAGTACTGACTTGTTCGCTGTCCTATGCTCAGCAAGCTTTCTTACACAGCCCAGCCACCCACAGTGGGCTGGGTCTGCCTACATCAATTAGCAGTCAGTAGAAGGCCCCAGTCTGCTGGAGGCTGTCCCTCACTTGAGGGTTCTTTTTCCTAGGTGACTTTATGTTGTGTCATTGATAATAAAAATTAGCCAACACAACCCCACACCCAACTACATCAGTATTTTTTGAGTTTAAGTAACAGGTCTTCTTTAAGGGTATATAAAAATGTATATATCCTCAATATTTACTTCACTTCTTCATTATAATAATGCTGGATATATGTGAACATAAAAATTAAATTATTCATGTTTATTGTCTTATACCACTGTAAACTCTGGTTACTAAAGACAAAATTTTCAAACAAATTTAAATGATTAATTGAATGTGGTAGTTGAATAATTTGTAATGTGAGAGAATGAGTTTTTAAATAATATTTTTATTCTTTGAGAATCTCATACAATATTTTTGAGCATATTCATCTCTTGTACCTTCTCCTAGATCCAACCCACCTCCCTACTCACCCTACTTCATATTCATTCTCTCTCTTCCTCTCTCTCTTCCTCTTCCTCTCCAACCCTCTGAGTTCATCTTATGTTGTCCGACTACTCCCAGCTGTGGAGCCTGTTCTGGAGTATGGTCGGTACACCAGTGTCACACCATTAAGCTACTCTCTCTCTCCCTTGGCAGTTATTAAATGCCAATAGCCCTTCCCCCGGGGGTGGGACTTCATGCTCATTTACCTTCCTTCATGCTAGGATTTTTGTCTTCCTTGAGTTTGATTGGATCTCTTCCGTGCTGACACAAATTGCTGTGACTTCCTGTGTGCAGCTACCCTGCTGTGTAAGGAAAGCACCGTTTGCCTGAAGTCATCCAACCCCCTTTTCACAAAGATCGCTGAGCCTTGAAGGGAGGGCTGTAATATGTATGTCCCATTTAGGGCTGAGCAATCTAAAGTCTTTATTCTCTCACATTGGCCGGTTGAGACTCTCCATGTTGATTGCCATCTACTGCAAGAAGTTGTTTCTCTGATGAGGGTTGGGAGATGCGTTGATCTGTCTATAGGTATTGCGTTGTTATTAGGAGTTGTTTTAGTACTAATAATCATTTAGCAGAATAATAGTTCACTTCTAGGGTCTATGACCTTCCTGTTCTCTTGGCCACGTTAACAGTGCCGAGAGATTCCATTTCATGAAGCAGGCCTTAAATCGGGTCAGAAAATGGTTGGTTACTGTGTGACAGACACTGTTGCACCAGTGGGCACATGTTGCCAGGCAGCTGTTCCTGTAGCTCACAGGATTCACATCTGGGTGAGGAGGTTTTGGTGTTTGGCACTGTCAGTACTTTGAAAGGTAGCCATAGAGCTGAAGCTTCTAGGTCTGTACCTACTTGCTTTCTCAGTGTTCTGTGGTTCAAGTAAGTGGTGGCTTCAGCAGTGCGGTCTCACTGTACGTTTCTGGAGGGTAACCAAGAGCATTGGCAGTAGCTTGTTAGGTTTGGGGGTCTTTGGGATGCCACTAGCCAACAACTCAGAAAGAAGTAACTCATCTTGGTTCTGGAGATGGGGGGACAAACAGGACACCAACAGAGGAAATGAGTTTTAAATGTTTTGAGTCAATGATGTATTCACACAGTTCAGAGATAAAGCTGTTAAGAGATGCACAGGGGAATGTCTCTTTCCTTTTCATCCTCTCTACCTAGTTGCCAATCTGTCTCTCAACTAAGATGATCCAGTTTAGCTTTAGCTCTATCCTGTCTGCAGAGGCAAGCTAGATGACCCTGGGCTTCTTTTTTTTGTTGATTAGAGATCCAGTTGAGATTATACAGAATTCTTTCCTTTCTGTAGCTGAACTGAAAATACATTCCATAATTTACCAACCAATCCTCTATTGTGAGGCGTTTTGGTTGATTCTGGTGTATGGAATTATTAGCAGGTATCTTTGAAAGCATATCCTTTCCTTGCAGGAGTTTGAGTTTTGTATCCTAGTTAGTCTTTGCCTTTCCGTTTCTCTCAGAACTACAGCTGGGATGTGAGCATGTGTACTTCAATCCTTAATTGGCTCAGGCCTGTCTGGTTTGCCTGTTATAATAGTCAGCCTTCTTCTTTCTTTCTCCTTTCATATGTTCAGTTTGAAAAATATTGTCCAAGAAGTTAACAAACAGATAAGATTCCTTGCTGGAAAAAAACTACAGAATTATCAAAGGAATTTTGATGGAATATCATTGTAGAATGTGCCATGATATAGCACAATTTTATTTATTGTCTTCAGTTGTTGGAAATGTTGATTTCTCATACTCCTTTCCACTTGCGTTTCTTTCTGTTTGTAGGGACATGGTTTGCATGGGGTAGGAGAGATTGTCCATATACCGTTCCCATTTGATGAAGCAGAGCTGCAAGGAGGTACCTTTTGAATTCTATCCATTTGACTTTATCGTTATTCCTGTCAGTCATTGGTGGAAAATGACAGGAAGTGAGTTCTTAAAAATTTAAATTCTGTGTTTTTACCCTTTGCTGTTAAAAGAGTTGGCAGAAGGGAGTTTTCAGTTATGTGACTTTCTGCCAGTGAACTGTTAGACAGCCAGTTAGACTATTGAAAGAGTGCCGTGTGTGTGTGTGTGTGTGTGTGTGTGTGTGTGCGTGTGCGTGTGCGTGTGCGTGTGCGTGTGCGTGTGCGTGTGCGTGTGCGCGTGCGCGTGCCTTTCAGATGAAGAGAGTAAGTGTGTGCTTTTCTAGATGGAAGAGTTTCTGTATGTGGAGCCTTTTAGTCCTTTCCTTTTATTGTTGGGTTATTTGAAGATTGGGAGAGAAGACAAGGTACCAGGAACCATTATGCTTAGAGAGTATAACCCACCTTCTTTTTCAGAGTACTCAAGACAAAGTTTGTGATGTGTGCACTTGGTTCCGCATGCGTGCATGTGCATGTGTGTGTGTGTCCTCTAGTCCTCCATTTCTTCTAAATTCTAAGGACAAAATGTTTGTTTTGAAGATGCCAGACATCTTTCACCTTTCAAAATGTCAAGAATTGATTAGCAGGAGCTTGTGTGAATTATTTATTAAAAGGGGGAGGGCTATCCTCTTATATTTTTTTCATTGAAATCAACTTGGTTTAATGTGTGAAAGTAATTTAAAATAGTAAAATGTGCATTAGTTTTTGGTGCTGTGTCGCATGATAACACTCCATTAACGTGCTGTTGCTGGTTTGTTCTAGAGTTTAGCCGTGCCAGCATGGGTGTCCATAAAGCACTGCAGATCTTGAGGAAGAGAGTGGACTTGCAGCATTTCTGTGGCTATGTCACCATGCTGAATGCTTCTAGCCAGCCTGCAAGTCGGAAGCTCAGTGACGCTTCTGATGAGAGAGGTTAGTCACATTTGGGTTCTCTGATTGAAATAGCTGAGTTTGAGTTCAGCACTGTCTTTAGGTGTGAACCCCAGCACACCTCCGTGGGAATGTTGTCATGAAGAAATAAGAATGTGACCTTCTGGGATACAGAACTGCTGCTGGCTCAGCCTTTTACCATTGCAGCTATGTTCATAGGCTTTGCATCAGGTTAACTTTAGGAGCGATGATTTCAAAACCCACGCCATTTTGTAAAAACATTTCCGAAATAGACTTACTAATTTGCAGATTCCATGAATTATATTAAGAGTCATTTCTTTCCCCTCTTCTTTCTTCTTAAAAACACATTATTGTTATTTTATGTGCACATGTATATGTGCACTGTAGCTGGGTGCCTGGGGAAGCCAGAAGAGGATGTTGGTTCCTGTGGAATTGGAGTTAGAGGCAATTGTGAGTCTATGTAGGTGCTTGGACTCGAACCGAGGTTAGATCCTGATAGCTGGCATTTTTCCTGTGAGTATGTACCCGGGTTCACTAAACCTCTCTCCAGCCTGTTTTTAGTTCTTGATTTTGTTTGGATCTTGATACCTTAAAGCACAGATTACAACCATTTCCTGTGCGGCCTTCCTTCCTCCTTCCATCTCTGGGCTGTCCTGTGTGTCCGTAGCAGACTAGATCTTGGTTTGCAGTTGTTTCTGCTCTGACATGGGAGAGTGCATATAGCTTTGTGTGCCATGGTACCAGCTCTGATCCTCCAACTCTGAAAGTGACTGTCACTGGTTGACTGTATTTCATGCCTTCAGTTTGAAATTCCCAGAAAATGTGCTTAGTAGTCAGCCAGTGAACTGGGTTGGCTCCCATTTAGTGTCAGTGTACTACCCGTCAGTTCTTTAAGACATATGTTCCACAGACATTTAAACAGCAATTAACTATTTTAAGTCCTGGGAGCATTTAATTTTTTAAGTCCAAAGTGTAAAACCTCAGTAGGGAAGATAAATGAATCTGCCTGCTCTGCATAGTTAAAAGGCTGAGAGGGGACAGGGGACTGCTTAGAGTCCACATGGCAGACAGAAAAGGCGCCATGGGGAATGCATCTTAGAGAAGGCAAAGTTGGAACAGAGCTTTGAAAAGTGAGAAGTTAGCCAAAAGATGGTTGCTTTTTTGTTTTTGTTTTGAAAAGGTAATTAGAAAGCAGAAAATAGCCGGGTGGTGGTGCACGCTTTTAATCCCAGCACTCGGGAGGCAGAGCCAGGCAAATCTCTGTGAGTTTGAGGCCAGCCTGGTCTGCAGAGCGAGCTCCAGAACAGGCACCAAGAGAAACACTGTCTCAAAAAACAAAACAAAACAAAACAAAAAGCAGACAATAGTGTGGCTCATTTTAGACAAAACAAAGGAGTTGTTGGTGAATAGATGAGTCCAGAAGGTGGCTAGGGGATCTCATGTTGCTGAAAGATAGAGGGATTCAGAAAAGAATTTTGAAGACTACTCAGACTGCAATGCGTATTTTCCTGGACGTGGGGATGGTTTTAGGAATGATGGAAGTGGCCATCCGAACTTGTGTTCTGCTTTGTGACTTTGGATTTTTTTAGCTCATGGTTGATTTTTGACCTTGGGAAATTTTACACACATGTTAAGATCCTTCGTGTTGATGGCTATCAATCCTTTTCACATTCACAAACTTATCTCTAGACATTTGTCAGGTGTCTGCTGCTTAAGCCAAAGACACCAGTTAGCCTGTTTCCCATTTTTTAAATCATTTGATGAGAAGGGAGAAAGAGGAAGTGACATATCTGTGAGGTAGAACATTTGGCCGCAGCTTTCTTTAGATTGTGTGGCTGACTGTAGAGAGCGGTTGTATCTTGGACTGCCCTTAACAGATCTTTCTTTTTCTTTTCTTAATTTTACTTTTTTTTATTGTTTGATAATTGATTTTTTTATTTTTTTGTCATTGTTTCCTGAAGTCCCCTTTTGTGCTAAGACTTACTGATAATTTCGGGTGAGTACTCGAGTCCTCATAGTGTTTTATATCCTTTAAATTATCAGGTGAGGCTGATTTGGCTTCTGGTTCAGATGTCAATGGGAGTACAGAGTCATTTGAAATGGTCATTGAGGAAGCAGCTACAGATTTGGCAATAAAACAAAACTCTGGTAAGATGTTAAAAAAATCTTTTTGCAACTTTTTAGGTTCCTTTGTGGGGCTTAGCTCTTCTGTTGAGCGGTTTGCATGTTGTTTTATTATTTACAGTGGAGTTTTGTGTTAATATGGTTCTTCTAAGAAACATGTTCATGCACTTTAGAGTGATTGAAGTAATATAAAGTATTGCTGAGGATAATGACTTCAGTTTCATTATTTGTATGATAAATACTCCATTTTATCATCTTGCAGATGTCCTCTTCTACTCCTTTTGAGCAAGTTATTACCTGGAACATTTAATGAAAAGCTGTCTATCTTTTCCCCAGACACATGTACATAATCAAAAGACACGCTCTTCCACTTTGAGATTGATGGCCCTGTTTAAGTCCATCCCTGCTTGAACTCACTAGTGGGTGTCATAAGGGTGGGAGGGCCCGAGGCCTCAGTTTGGAAGACCTTGCTGCTCATACAGAATATGTAAGTGTATAGTCTCAAGATGTCTGTGTTCTTATTAGGGGCCACAGCAGAAGCAGATTGGGTTCCTCTTGAGCTGTGTTTTGGAATTCCTTTGTTCAGTTCTGAATTAAACCGGAAAGTTTGTCAGAAAATAGCTACACATGGCCTTTGCAGAAAAGAGAGGTAAGGGCTTGTGTTCTTCATCCCTGTTTTTAAGTTGTCATTGATGTTGCTCTGCTTTGCGTTTTTGTTAATTCACACATTGTCCTAGTTAAGATTTCTGTTGCTGTGAAGAGACACAAAGAGTGGTTTGGAAGAGAGATACCCTCAGAGTCCCCCTTTTAAACTTAGGAAAACAAAGTTGGCCAGCAGATCAGCTTAAGTCATTTGACTTAATGGAGTTTAGATAGGAAAGTGTTCAACTGATAATGTCAACAACCATTCTCTGAAATAGCCTGTCAGAATAAAAGTATAAATATTAGTTTGGGGCTGAAACCGTCCATTACTTACTCTCTGCACCCTCTGCAGCCGTGAATCTTGGCATGCACCCTTGTTCCCTGGAAAGAGAAGCTTCTGTGATTATAAGGCTGGAGTGCGTGTCTGTGGGTATCCGCATAACTGTCAGAGCATCCTGACACTCGCAGTTTGCTAATCAGTAGTCGCTCGCTCTTCTCTGACGCCTCTGCTTTCTTCTGCCATGGTTTGTGACCAGATTTGTAACAACAGGGATGCTCTAAAGGTTCAAGGAATGTTGAAGAAGAGGGGATGAATATAAAATACCATCTCCTGGGCAAGACACAGCCATTGTAATCACAAGTGATAGCAGATCAATGTGGATGCCTGCACTGTTTCTGTAGAAGGATGGGCCGGCTCATCAGCAGTCAAGCACAGATGGAGGAGGAGCAGAGGGGTCCCACGCTTCACTGTTGGACTGTTCACTGCTGATAGATTCAGGGAGAGGGAAGCATTGCCTTCAGTTGTGTACCAGGTGGCGGCCCCTCCAGGCGCCAGTGTATAGTTAGGATTCAGTGCTTACACAGGTGGCTTTAGGTAAACTTAATGGGTCACCAAAGTCCTGAAATTGGGAAAGGAACAGGTAGGGATGAGAGGATTGGGAAGGATGGGAAGGAGATGAGCGAGGGATGGGTGGAAAATAATCAGAATGCATTGTGTGTGTGTGTGTGTGTGTGTATGTGTGTGTGTGTCTAATAACCATTTTTTTTAAAAGTGTAAGTACTATGAAACTTCAGAGATTGTCCCTGTAATTTGTACTAATTTACATATCTGGAAAGTTATGTATGGCAAGGTTGTGTTAAATGTGCCAGATATTTTTATTAGCTTGTTTTATTTAATATTTATATGTATTAACAATTTAAGTAGATCTTTTGGAAAAAAATAACTTCAATTTTGGTTATATAAACCCTGCTCCTTGGTACCAACTTATGTCTTGATCACTGTTCTATTTGCTGTGAAGAGACACCATGACCATAGCAACTCTTATAAAAACATTTAATTGGGGGCTTGCTTACAGTTTCAGGGACTTAGTTCATTATCCTCATGGTGGGGAACGTGGTCACAGCCATAGTGCTAGAGAAGTAGTTGGGAGCTACATCCTGATCTGCAGGCAAAGAGAGAGTGTGAGTGCACCTGGAATGGGCTTTCGAACCTCAGAGCCCACCCCCTAGTGACACAAGACCAACAAGATGTCCAACAAGACCACAACTCCTGGTCCTTCTAATCCTTTCAAATTGCTTACCACTCTAATGGTGTTATGAACCTGGGAGAGCAGGGCCTAAGAATGAGGTGGACAAAAATCTCATGCAATAGCCAACTTTAGTCAGAGCATCAGACAGTTTATTTATACTCTGAGGGTTAAGAAGAATCACACAAGCAAAGTTCTCACGAGTTCAAGCTGTATACAGTCACGAGAACAAACTGCACATGGCAAAAACATGTTTTTCCATAGAGGCATATAAACAAATAGCACTAGCCAGCTATAATAAATGTTCTACAGTAAACTCATTCCTATTGGCCACATTGGGGAGGGCCACGAAAGCACATTCCAAGAACAGTTCTTGTGTTTTTGACGAATCTGAGGTCACAAGACTTTTGTTTTTTTTCTTAGAATTTTGTCACAAGCACTCAGAATTCTGCTCGAATGACTCCTTGGATTGAGATGTCATTCTTGGACCTTGTTCTGACATAAATAATGCCATTCCCCGGTGACTAAGCATTCAAATATATCAACCTATGGGGCCGTTCTTACAGCACCACATTCCACTCCCTGGCCCCCATATGATTTGTAACCAAATCATATTACAAAAATACATTCAGTCCATCTTCAGAAATCCCCATAGTTTATCATAGTCTCAACATTGTTTAAAAGTTCAAAGTCTCTAAGACTCATGGAAATTTTTTAGCCATAACCCTGTAAAATCCAAAAGCTTATCACATACTTCCAACATACAGTGGCACAGAATATTCATTACCATCCAAAAGGGGTGGAAAGGGTAGTAGTGAGAAAATACCAGACAAAAGCAAGACTGAAAACCACCAGGGCAAACTCCACATTCTATATCGCCATGTCTGATGTCAAAGCACTCTTTGGATCTCCAACTTCTTTCGGTTTTGTTCACTACATCACATTTCTCTTGAGCTGGTCCCATACCTGGTCTGTAGCTCTCTTGGCAGGTATCCCACTCTAAAACTCTAAAGTCAGAGCCGTGGCCAAAGTGTCAAGTTCTGCTTCTTGATGGGCTGGAACTTGGCCTCTTTGTTAAAGTACATTTGCATAAGCGTTCTGTTTTGATGGTTTCCTTCACTGACTAAACTTTTCATGAATTCCTTTTCACAAGTTGAAAACTTAGCTGGTGGAGTCTTGTCCCGAGGACACCACTCCCATTTTTCCATTTAGCGTCAGGCTTTTCATCTCCTTGAGCACTGGACTTGTCTCCAGTACACTTTCTGGTGCTCCTTTTCTCCTCACACTACATTTTATATTTCTCTTTGTTTAGTTTGTTCCCTTTCCTTACAGATCTATGTAAGAGTTGTTACTGATAACCACATGGCAGTCAAGACTAGGCTGTCTGGACATCTCTGTCAGTGCTGTTAATCCGGAACATCAGTTTAGCCTCAGGAAAAAATTTAAGACAAGCACAAAAAGCAGCTGTTTTCTTTTTGTCAAAATATCACAAGAATGGTCTCTAGGGCAGCTTCCTCTCTGAAAACTTTTGGGCCAGGAAGTCTTAATTTACATTGTACCTAGCACCACTGTCTTCCATGCACCCACTAGTATGGCCCAATAAGTCCTGCTTTCCTAACCCAAAGTTCCAAAGTCCACATTCCACCAATGAACAGCATGGTCAGACTCATCACGGCAATACTCTACTCCCTGTACCAACTTCTGTCTTAGTCACTGTTCTAGTGCTGTGAAGAGACCATGACCATGGCAACTCTAGTAAAGAAAAGCATTTAACTGGGAGCTGGCTTCCAGTTTCAGACCATGGAGCATGGCAGCAAGCCATAGTACCTGAAAAGTATTGAGAGCTGCAGACAGGCAGGCAGGCAGACAGACAGACAGGCAGGCAGGCAGACAGACAGGCAGGCAGGCTGGGGGTGGGGGTGGGGCAGGCCTGGGTCTGGCATGGGCTTTTGAAACCTCAGTGACATACTACAGGGCCAAGCCTCTTAATCCTTCTAATCCTTTCAAATAATGCTACTCCCTGGTGACTAAATGTTCAAATATATAAGCCTGTGGAGGCCATTCTTATTCAAACCACCACATGAACTTATATTTTAACTTAGATCTAAAGCATGGTATTTTATTTAAAAATGGCCTCCTTTTTGTATACTATTAGCCCCATTGTTAAAACAGGTAAAATTTTTGATACAATTACTTAAAGATTTTTATGTTTTATTACATTGTATATTCATACATTAGTTATTTAAAATGATAAAATTTAACTTGTAAAAGCTTACTTTTCACCGTTATATTTAGTTAAAAATATTTTTTTCTCTCTTTTTTTTTTTTTTCAGCCTTCAAAGCCTCTTACATTCCAGTAGAAAACTCTCTCTACAAGTCCTTAACTTTGTTCATTCATTCCAGGTAACGTAAGCCAAAACATGCAAATGGTGTTGATATAGAGCTTTATAATATGTGAAAGGCTTTTTTTAAATTTGTTTGATCTTGAGTCTCCTCAGTATGAGGCTGTGTGACCAGCATGATTCAGGATGTTAATTGACTTGCACACCTCACTGATCTGGCCTTCCTAGACAAGGCCTGGCCTCTTCATTCTGTACCGGGTTCATTCAGCCCAATAGGCTTGACCATGTGTTGCATGTCACGGATCCTGCATGCTAGTGCGGAGGTCAGGCTGTGGTGCTTACTTCTCCAGTACCGCTTCACTGTTGGGAGGGGTGCTGGGCAAGTCAAGGTCAATGGTGTGGAGAAAAAGGATGTTCTGGGCTTTATAGATTCATAAATAAACTTTGAAAATAGAATATTCAGAATATCTGATTCAATACTATCAAGTCAATATTTTAGAGTTTTTTTCATTCAGTAAATACTTGAGTCTACCCTCTGCCAGACCCTTCACCAAGTGTCACAGAAACTGATAGGGAAGACATTAGTGGAGCATGTGATATTGTGTAGACACAAACATTAATGTTTGTAAGTAATTACAGATTTCAATAAGTGCTTTGAGGGAGCTATAATCTGAGAGAGTCTGAAGGAAGCCCCAATTTATAAGATGAATCTATAAACTGAAGCCGATAGGACAGAAGAGAGAGAATGGTAGAGACAGACAAACAGACAAGAGGTGCAGAGGTCCTACTGCCAGGAAAGTGCTGGGCACACAGGAACAAAAGGCAGTCAAGGTGATAGAAATATCCTAAAAAAAAGTCGATGAGGTTGAAGAGGGAGGACCTTCCTGAATGAATGCCAAGAGACATGGCTGAAGACTAGTGAAGGAAAGAGACTGTTTCTGGTGGAGTGAGTGCTTTAAACGGAGTGGTAGTGTTGGAGAGGCACAAGCTAGAGGCAGGGTCCATCAGATGCCCTTGTAATTGCCTGAGGAAGACATGCTCTGAGTACTCTTCACTGAAGGATACCTGAAATGTGCATGTACTCCTAGTAAAGGGTTCTTTATTGTACATGTACTATCATAACAGTACAAAAGTATAATGTAAGGATTCATAAACAGGTGGTGAAGTTCTGAAATGCTCAGTACTCTGAACCCCCTAGCCCTGGCAATGTTGAGTGCTGAATCATTGAGATATGTTCTGAAGATAGATATACACAACTTGATAAATTAAATGAAAGGGAAATAATGAGGGTGTAGTAGGAAGAAGTAAGACTGATTCTCACACTTCTTGTTTAGCCAAAGGAGTGGAATGGGGCAGGCTGGGGAAGAAGCAGGGATTGGGCATGGTAAGTGTATAATGCAGGGAAGACACTTCAGAACCGTAGTCAGACCCTTGGATGCTTGGGAACATGCGTCTGAACCTGTTCATCTGAGAAGCCCGGGAATACGTGCTGTTCAGGTGTGGAGTGGGGTGACAGCCTCTTTATTGGCCTTCTGCTTTCAGGTACCCCTTTAGCTAGGTCCAATTCTGAGAACTTACCTTTTATCCCATCATCCCATAGACTATTTCTGATTGTTTTCAAAGCATTTCTTATAAGTGCTTGTCATTTTTTACATATTAATGTTTGCTCTTGTTTTTGGTAGTTCTCTCTGCTGTGGTGATATAGTGTAGCCTAATAAAACTTGCTTGAAGATCAGAGAACAGAACAAGCCACTAGATTAAACATAGATGCTAGGATTAAAGGTGTGTGCCACCACTGCCTGGCATCTATGTTTAATCTAGTGGCTGGCTCTGTCCTTTCATCTTCAGGTACATTTTATTAGGGTACACAATATATCACCACAACATGCTATGAACATTTCTCAGGTAATCAGGTCCATATATTTTTCATCAGTTCTGTTTCTTCGCTGAAACTCAATGTGAACTATTTCTCCTGTTCTTTGGTTTTTTAGGAAGGTGCTTCAACTCTGGATCTTCACACGGAGCCCAGCTTTCCAAGTGTGCTTTCACAGTCGTCCTGCACCGATACGGGAGTTCCACTTCCTGCCAAAAACTTAATGTTTAAAGATGGCGTCTTGTCAGAGTGGAGTGGACGCTCACCTTCCTCCCTTCTCATTGCTAACCTCCATTTGCAATAATTTGATTACACCATGTATTGCTCACACGTTCTGCCTTTTTTCTTTCTTATGTTGGCTTTCCGGTGTCAGCCATCAAGAGCGTCCTGCTGCTGCTGCGGGGCAGTTCGCGCTTCGCTGGTGGGAATGCTCGGAACATGCTCCTGTTTGCTGAAGCCGCCGCGGGGTTGCACATCCTACTGCAGGGACGTGCTTCCCAGCAGCCAGCACTGGGTTTCTACCTTGAGACAATCTGCATTTCTTTTATAAAACTGAGGGTGTACTTTATAGGCTTTAGATGACTGTTATGTTTATAAGCAGTCACTATGAATATTGCAGTGGTAGTTTTATATGTTAGGTTCTCAGACATAAACCTGGTTTAATTTTATATTTTGTTACCTACACTACGGGGATCACAGGAGGAGATGGAACTCTTTCTTGGGAAGGCTTCTTGGTTCTTGAGGTAGTCACGCTAGAAAGTGGCAAGCATCCAGCAGAGAGAGGTCTGTACCAGGGCATTAAGGGTTCCTGTGGCTATCTATAAATTATGTATGCCAAGTGAACATGATTGAGGGTATGTCAGTCAGCACAGTTATGTAAGGTTGTCTTAACTGACTATTCGTTGACATCTCATGAAAAGCTTTGGAAAACATTCTATTTTTAAATGATGTTTGTATGTGGACTTCTGTTGTCACTCAACTTGGGCTTTATATTTTCATAGAGTCTTTATGGAAAAATAGTTTATTTTCCACTTGTAGTTGGGTCTGTGGCGTGTCTCATTTTGTCTGTAGCTTTACCAATGAACTGTTAGGACAGTTGACTTTGATTTCAGAGCAAGGATTGTGATTGGGAATTGCACATCAGGGCTGTCTTTGGACTCGGCTCCATGGTGAGGCGATTCTCATACACAGCACCTGGACCCGAAGCCTAGGCACACAGCTCTGGGGACAGTGGGAAGCACTGACTGGCTTCCCGTGCTTCCTCGGGAGTTAGTTCTTTTAGGATCTCAGATGTCAGAATATCTGGAGCCACATGCAGACTTTTCAGGTCACCCTCCGGGGGGATTGTGCAGTGTTAGTTAATCTCCCCTTGGAGGGCGATGGTGGGCTAGTGTGAAACTAACCGAGGGAGCTGGTCCAGCAGCGTGCCTGGCACACTCGAAGCATCAGACTGCTTGAGAATGTTTGAGCCTGACAGTTTTGCTGATGGCCTTTGTTATTTATACAACTGATGTTTGTGTACTTAACAAACTTCTGGAAGCATATGCCTTTCTTGAAACCGTTAAAGTGGCCATGCATTTAATACCATGGCCTATCGGTAGAATTGAGTATTTCGGACCAGGTTCCCTATAGCACAGTTAGTGCTATGTTTGGAGTAAATGCAGTAATGTTTAGTTTTCTACTTTGTCTTGTATAAGGTAGAACTCTGTGTATGTCAATTTGTCTGTAAAAGGAAAAGTACATAGTAATATTAAAATGATTTCTATGACTGTGAATCACTCATTTATTTTTCCAATAACTGATACTGTACATTCCTAGCTACTAGCTATATGTGTATGTAACTTTTACAGTTTCAATGGAAAGTTGTGTTTCTTTGATCAGGGCTCTTTAATCTCATTTTAGCTTGCTTTGTTTGAGTTAATTGTATTTATCCTTGTATTAGCCGTCGAACGCCAACTCTAATGATACGTACACTAATAAAGAATTGAACATTGTAGTTTCGACAGTGAGTCCAGTTATTGCTGAGTTTATAGCTTAAAATATGGGAGGGATTTGCTGCTACAATTCGTTTGCAAAACATTGAAGGAAGAGATGGAACCTAACCGCTATCATGAACTTCAGGAACAATACTAAAAAGACACATTTCATCTCTGGTTTCTTGTTTGAAATGGGGAGAGTGAAATCATCAGATCCCAGCTGATGCACCCAGTCTTATGAGGGACCATTTGCATTTTTAGAGGAGTTAAGGTGATGTTTGTGCTTTGCTTTATGAATATGACCCATTCCGCTCATAGCTCATGCACAGGTGCCTCTTAAGTTGATTAAAAAATAAATAAATAAATAAATACAGATTTGTTCTTTGCCAAAGAAAACTGATAGAGGTTGTATCCAGTTCCTTTGCAAATGTTTGATTTCATTTGGCTTTGTACCACCCTCCTTTCCTTTCCTCACCCTCACTGTAGCTTGACCCATGGCAAACAAACCTTTAGAATCCAAGAAAAAAAAGAGCTACTAATATAACAAAGGGCATGCAGTTTAGGAGTGGGCCAGTTTCACCTCACCGGTGTATCTGAAGAAGTGCAACCTATGTCATTTAAGAAGTTAGGGTCAGCTGATTCTTAGAGCAGTGGTTCTCAACCTGTATGTAGATCTTGACCCATTGGTGGGGTCGGGTCGAACGACCCCTTCACAGAGGTCACAGCCCAGAGATCCTGCATATCAGATATTTACATTACAATTCATAACAGTAGCAAAATTACAGTTCTGAAGTAGCAACGAAAATAGTTGTATGGTTGGGGGTCACCACAACCTGAGAAACTGTATTAAAGGGTCACAGCGTTAGGAAGGCTGAGAATCACTGCCTTAGAACCTTGTTTAAAATATGTAACCAGATGATCTTGTATTTGTTTGAGGGAAGTGATTTCTCTTATTGAGTGTTTGGTTTTCTCTGCCATTCACATTCATTTTTTATGTTCAGTATTTCAAATACACTTTGTATTAAAGGATTTTAAAGTACCAAAACTGTAACTCAGTACAGTGGATTGTTTTCTGTTATGACGTTAATATGATACAATGAAATTGTATAAAGTGTTGTCAATTTGATTATTGACATGAATAACATGTTTACAAATAAACTGTGGTGTTGATCAAGTTGCCATGAAGAGTGTCTGATTTTCTGAGACTTCTTAATATTAAATACACTTGGCTTTTCAGCCTGGCTTTGCGGTACTTTTCTAACTAACTTTTAAGTTTTGTTCTAATATCAGATTTGCAGGAAAGTTGCCAGGCTAGGCCATGGATGTTTGTGTCTCCGTGCTGGCTAGTTTTGTGTCGACTTGATACAAACGAGTCACTTGGGGAAGGGGAACCTCAATTGAGAAAACGCCTCTACCAGATTGGCTTGTGGGCAAGTCTGTGGGTGCTTTTTCCAAATTAGTGATTGGTGGACCCAGCTCGCCGTGGTTGGTGCCATCCTGGCCTGGTGGTCCTGGCTGCTATGACAACGCAGGCCATCACTGAGGGAAGTTAGGGAAGGAACTCTTAGAAGGCAGGAACCTAGAGGCAGGCACTGGTACAGAGGCCATGGAGTGCTGCTTACTGGCTTGCTCCTTGAAGCTTGCTCAGCCTGCTTTGTTCTACTAAAGAGCTGAGAAGAGTTGGGGGGCTGAGTATGATTAAAACACATGAAATTCTCAACTAATAAAAATGTTTAAAATTTTAAAAAAAGGTTCACATAGAGCATAGACTCCAGCCTCTGGTCCAGCTTCCTTCCAGTATCCCAGCTAGACGATGGAGTGGTTGGGTTTGAGGTAACACTTGCTCCTTAAAATGAGCTGCTCCTCACTGCCAGATCCCTCCGCTCTGCAAAACCATCTGCCAGTGGTGGATAATCTGCTTCGTCTTCATGTCCCATGGTTTGGGTTACAAGCCTCCCTCTTAGTTTTATTGTGGATTATTTGTTTCTAATCTCTTTGTGGTTTTAGTGGCTCTCTGCCATGAAAAAAATCCATTGTTTTCCAATCAGAACTCTTCCAGCCTTGGATTTTCTTAAGGAGCATACATGAGAGTGGAGAGAATGCTTGTTCCACCTTGGCCGTGGTCAGCGTTAACCCTCTTGGGTCATGTAGACAAAGCATATATATTATTTATATATGCATGAGCACAGAACTCTATCCCCTCTCCATAGGTTATAAGGTCAAACCTGGATACCATACAATCTATTCCATAATTTAGACTATTAACCCTGAGTTACTGGAAGCAATAGTTCCCACAGCTAGAAATGACACATGTACCCACTAAACCACTGCTGCTGACGCAGCAATAGAGTTGAAAGCTGGTGGAAATTGGTCTAAAGCATCGAATAAAAGGGATGGGAAAATGTAAAATTATCAGATGTTTGTGTACCAGGAAAATGCAAAGATGAATGAAACAAGCTTAGAAATAAGACAGGAATGACTTACCTACAACTTGTTTTATTATTAATACAATGAGGAAAGAGTTCTAAATTTTTTGTAGGCTTTTAATTGACACATAAAATGTAAAACGTATTAATGGAATAGCATTTAATGTTTTCATATTTGTGGACATTACCCAGTGCATATGCGTAACTAACATCAGTCTTAAGCATCATGATAAAAAAAAAAAAACTTTTGGGGGAGAGGCTGTACAGAAGTGTGTTTTGTTTTTTGTTTTTTGTTTTGTTTGTTGTTTGTTTTTTCCCTCTGTGTAATAGCCTTGGCTGTCCCGGAACTAGCTCTGTAGTCCAGACTGGCCTCGAACTTACAGAGCTCTGCCTGCCTCTGCCTCCCATGTGCTGGGATTAAAGGCGTGCACCATAACTTTCCAGCAGAGGTGTTTTTAAAAATATTTTTAAATTCTTTGGGAATTTTATACGTACATACAATGTATTTTGTTCACATTTACTCCCTATTCCTCCCAGTTTCACCCCCTATCACCCTACTAACTGTCTTTTTTTTTTCCCCCACTAAGCTCAATTTGTGTGGCTCATAAACTCATGGGTGTGAGGCCATCCATCGGCGCATGACTGACCTACAGGGGCTGTACCCTAAAGGAAATGGACTGTGTCCTTCCCTTAGCAGCCAACCCTCAACCAGCATGAACTCGCAGCTGGGGGTGGGGCTGTGAACGCCTCTCCATGCTGGAACGTTAACTGGCTCGATCCTGTATTGGTCTTAGGCAGGCAGCTACAGCTGGTGTGAGTTTCTGAGTGCAGTGGTCCTGTTTGGTCCTGTCCTTCCTGACCTCTGGCTCTTAGAATCTTTCCACCCCCTTCTTCCATAATGTCCTGTGAGCCGTGTGTGTGTGTGTGTGTGTGTGTGTGTGTGTGTGTGTGTGTGTGTGTGTCTGTGTGTGTCGCGTCAAAGACGTTCTATTTACGGATGAGCACTCCACGGACATTTGTTTCTGTACTTTGATCAGTTGTGAGTTCCTGTGTTATTCACCATCCACTCACAGAGAAGCTTTGATGAAGGCTGAGAGATGCACCAATCTATGGTACAGAGATACATATTTAGAGGATAGCTTGACACTATGTCCACTTAGCAAAATAATGGCTCATTCCCGGGGCATGTGAGGTCCCTAGCCGTGGATTTTTGGTCAGATTTACAGTTTCCTCCGTTGGAGTGGGTCTTAAATCCAGTCACCAAGTGGTTTGTTATCTCCATAAGGTCTGTGCTGCTGCTGCTCCCGTGTGCATGTCTTTGTCATTATAGATCACGTGTTCCTGGCTGGGTAAGAATGCTGATGACTTTTCTCCCCATCCCCTACCCCCCAGCAGCCTACGTAGCATTTCTGGTATATGATGTTTTCAGCAATAGGATCTTGTCATCAAGTCTGGAAGACAAGAGCAGTGACAATAGCCTGTGCTGTTTGGGCAGCAGGGGTGGAGGGGGCCATGTTCTCGGGACACCCCTGACATGGTGCAAACCTTTAATGTCCTCTCTTCTAGTCTTTTAATTTAACTGTTTATTTTTCATGTGTATGTGTGTGCACCTGGGTATATTTATGTGTGCCATATGTGTGTGGCGACCATGGAGTCCAGAAGAAGGCATTGGATCCCTTGAATTGGAGTTACGGGCAGTTGTTAGCTACCCAATGTGGGTGCTGCAAACCGAATTTGGGTCCTCTGGAAGAGCAGCAAATGCTCTTAATGGCTGAACCATCTCTCTGGCTCTTGTGGTAGTTTCTAAGGCTAGTTGGTAACTATTTCGAATTGTTGTCCTTCTTAGACTATGGTAGAATCACATGGTCTGCCATCATGTGATTGGATGGGGTCCTATGACTCATCTGGTCAGGGGTGAGTAGATTTAATGGTGTCCATGCTGGAGGATCCCTCCACATCTCTTTTTTTTTTTTCCCCTAGTGGAGCGGCTAATATTTAAGATGGGATGCTCTATGAGCCTGGGTGCCTGAAATGAGTAGGCCCACCTTCCCCTGATGTGTGATGGAGATGTATCTGCAGTGGGAGTCTCCCTTGTTTGAGGAAAGGTAGCTATTCTTACAAAACCTGTTCACATACAATGAGTTTGTTGTATTTTGAGCTGAAAAAGACGTTTACCTTTCCTCACTTTTAATCTCCAGTGTGGTCAGTGTCAATGAATATAACCCATTCAAAAGCTCTTTGGGTTCCTCAACATTTTTAGAAACTTTCAGTGTGTGTGTGTGTGTGTGTGTGTGTGTGTGTGTGTGTGTGTGTGTGCAGGTGTGGTGGTCAGAGGACAACTTTCAAGGTTCAGTTCTCTCCACCACTCTCAAGGGTCATTTCCCCCCTCACTCTCCAGCCACACACTTAGGAAACGTGGATACACCTCGGCACTCAGCACTGTAGTTTATGTGGGCTTGGACTCATATTGTTTTCCATTTCACAGAATTGAAGAAGGCAATTCAAAAGACTTAAGACAAGTCTTCATATAGTTAACATGTGCTCTGAAAATGCACTTTTATTTAAGATTTATTTATTTATTTTGTATACAGCATGTATGACTTCAGGCTAGAAGAGGGCAACAGATCCCACTATAGATGGTTGTGAGCCACCATGTGGTTGCTGGGAATTGAACTCAGGACCTCTGGAAGAGCAGCCAGTGCTCTTAACCTCTGAGCCATCTCCCCAGCCCTGAAAATGCACTTTAAACATCACTAGGAAATTTAATAATTTCCCTGTGTAGTTGGTGAGCCTCAGGCAAAGAAATTGTCTCAAAAGATCTTGATAAAAAAATCTTTAGTAGCCAGGCAGTGGCGGTGCACGCCTTTAATTCCAGCACTTGGGAGGCAGAGGCAGGCAGCTCTCTGTGAGTTCGAGGCCAGCCTGGTCTATAGAGTGAGTTCCAGGAAAGGCCCCAAAGCTACACAGAGAAATCCTGTCTCAAAAAACAAAAAACAAAAACAAACAAAAACAAAAAAACCCCAAAAAACAATAACAAAAAACCAAACCTTTAGTCACATGATGCTAATACCAATGGAATAAAGCGAAAGTTACCTTTTTAGAAATTAAGTTCACAGGTGAGTAGCTCAAACCAAACCACCAGATGAAATTGTGATCACCTGTAGCTTGAATATTTATTTCTGAGACAACGTCTTGTTATGTGGCCCAGGCTGACCTCCTGCCTCGGACTCTAGAATGTGAGAATGAAGCAAAGCCAGGAGATGGGGCCGCCCACATGGGCTGGGCCTTTCTGTACCAGTTAATACAATCTAGACAGTCATCCACAGGTACTGCCACAGACCAACCTGACCCAGACAATACTGCATTGCGACTCTCAAATGATTTCAGATTGGGTCAGTCTGACCGTTGAAACCAGCCAGCACACCTGTGGTTTTTCTTGTAGTGTGTGAACAAAGATCAGAACCTCACGACAGCGTAGGTAGGTGCCTTTTCACATCTCTTGTCGTTTTTGTTTGTTTTCCCCATCAGAAACCATGATGTTTCATTTTCCAAACAGGCTTCTACTTGGCCTCAGGCAGAGTTCCCAAACAGCAACATCTGTTCATGCAATTTTTGCTCTCTGTCCTTTGAACATCACTGCAGTAAAACCCGACACCAGCAGGGCATGGCAACCCAGGGAAGCTTTGTTTCGACTTCAGCTCTCTCGATGTTTTGACAGCTAGGTTGTAAAAGGTTCCCTGGCACTAAGGTCCACGTGCTGCTGTGAGCTTGGGAGGGTTGGGGCGTTCTCCAAGCTGTGCCTTGTGAGGCAGTCTCTTCTCTTCTCTGCCCGTGGGTGGCAGTGTTTCGCTTTTCTAGCCTCGTTTCTAGGAGAAAATAGCTTATGCTTTCTTTTTAAAAGGGTAAGAAGGATTCGGTCATGCTTCTCTCTCATCCCCCAGCCCTCCTCTTTGTTGTGTTCCCTTGGGAAACCACATTGAGAACAGCAGGATTCACACCCTAGGCTGGTTCTGAACACATTTCCAGGAGTCAAAGTTCCAGTATGGAAGACAATAAAGCCTTCTCAGAGGGCTGCTTGTGTGTGTGTGTGTGTGTGTGTGTGTGTGTGTGTGTGTGTGTGTGTGTGTATGTGTGTGTATACATGCCTGCATGTATGAGCATGCCACAGAGCAAATGGGGGAGGGGGGCAGGACAACCTCAGGGGTGTGTGTGTGTGTGTGTGTGTGTGTGTGTGTGCACATGCATGCATGTATGAGCAAGCCACAGAGCATATGTTGGGGGCAAGACAACCTCAGGTATCCCGTCTTGCCTTCCACTGTTTAAGGCAGGCCTCTCTTGTTCACTGCTGTGCACATCGGGCTAACGGACCCCAACCTTCCAGGGACTGTCCTGTTCCCACCTCCCATCCCCCATCACAGTGCTGGAATTACAAATGTGCCCATCACTGCATCCGGCTTTTACATGGGTTCTGGAGATCCAAACTCAAGCTGGTGGGCTCGAAGGTTAGTGTTTGACCCACTGAACAAGCTCCCCAGCACCTCAAGAGTTCTAAGCAGGTGTCTTAGTTTTTTTTTTTTTTTCACGGCTTTGACAAAGGCAACTTAAGGAAGGGCAGGTTTATTCTGAGTCCCACTGGGAGGGCACAGTCTTATTATCTGTCTCCTACTGCTGGGACAAAGTTCCGTCTCTACCTTCTGGAATGTCATGTGGTAATAAACTCAGTAACTATTTGTGAATGAATGAATGAATGAATGAATGAATGAATGAATGAATGATTTATGTGTCTGCTTTCCCTCCCGAGGATCCACTGGTGTTTTAATTAATGTTATTTATCTATTTATGTGTCTAAGTATGTAAGTGGTAGGGGAGGGGAGTGCATGTGCCTATGGAATCCAGAAGATGGCGCCATATACCTTGGAGCTGGAATTGTGGGTGTTCGCAGGATGCCTGGCTTGCTATGTGGCCACTGGATCCTGACTACAGTCCTCATGATAGGGTAGCAAGCACTAACTGCTGGGCCATCTCTCCAGTCCCCACTGGCTCTTTCTGTGGGATCATTGGAAGCGAAAGAAACCAACCGAGACCTCTGTGGCTTAAGCAAGAGTCTTCGAAACTGGAGAAGGAGTTCGTTAAGCCACCAGGGCTGTGCATCGGGAGAGTCCACGTCTTTTACAGGGGCCTCGGCAGGCAGTGACTATCTTGCCCTTTGTTGCCAGTGTGCACAGGGACAGTCTCAAGTTCCAAAGCATAGCCAGGGAAGGAAACCATGGCCAGAGATCACTTTCTCAGTGACAGACCTGCAATGCTGGCCCCCAAGTCCTGCCAGCTTGCCCTGCCTCCTGCAGGGCTGAATAATAGGTACAACAAAGGGGGTCAGGAGACATGGTTGCTTTGCAA